TTTCTCATATTTTCATCCATTTTAATCCGGGTACCCTAGGTATATGCAAGTCCGTGCGCCCAATCTGTCGGTGATCGTGTTATCACCTACTGCTCTATTACTTTCTCTCGGTGATCTCAATATCACCTACCGCTCGTAACGGAATTATCCCTCGTTGTAGCACACGGTTAGCGGAATTATCCCTCGCTTAGCGATGTTAATAAATAGAGCTCGCACTATGGATTCCTTGCTATTACCCAATCCACTCAATTCGGTTATCAAACCGTGTCAATTCAAGACTCAATGATTTTTCTTAATTTATTTCCACCCCCAATGCACATGATGCACATGATGACATGTTTAATCACATTCAACCAAACTCGGGTACCAGCTCTTCTTTCTCAAGCCATACTCATGGTCTAACCATCACTCGGGATTCACTCGACGCTCACATACCAATCATGGTACTCATAGCGGGAACACAACCTTCGCTCATTAATATTGTTTATTAGTTTTATTAATAATTAAAGAAGGTCCAGTTCTTTTTTTTTCTTAATTTCCTCTATGAAAGAATAATTTTTCTAAAAAATTTTAAAATCCTTTTTATTTCTATCTAAGTCCACATATTTTAGCCTAAGCCCATTTTCGTTAGTCTAAGCCCATCTACTTTAAAACCAAGCCTTTTGATTTTAGTCCAAGTCCATTACCAAATTTATTTTATTTAAGTCCAAGCCCATTAACATTAATCTAAGCCCAAGTCCATTTTTTTAAATCTAAGTCCACTTTATTTTTAAATCCAAGCCCATCTCATTTTAACTCAAGTCCAAGCCCATTAACATTAGTCCAAGCCCATTTATTTTAATCCAAGCCCAAGTCCATTTATTTTAGTCTAAGTCCACTTTATTTGTAATTCTAAGCCCATCTCATTTTAACTCAAGTCCAAGCCCATTTATTTTAATCCAAGCCCAAGTCCATTTATTTTAATCTAAGTCCACTTTATTTGTAATTCCAAGCCCATCTCATTTTAACTCAAGTCCAAGCCCATTAATATTAGTCCAAGCCTATTTATTTTAATCCAAGCCCAAGTCCATTTATTTTAATCTAAGTCCACTTTATTTGTAATTCCAAGCCCATCTCATTTTAACTCAAGTCCAAGCCCATTATCATTAATCCAAGCCCATTTATTTTAGGTTAAAAATTTTTCAGCGAGTGGCACACCTAAACAACCTATACCAAACCAGCCATAACTCCTTAAATATATACCTAAAACTCACGAAATTTTAAGAGGAGATATTAGACATATAGATCAACAACTTTTATTCTTTACGTTTCCTCCAAAAAGTATTCTAAAATCCTTAAATAATTCACACATGTTTTGGAACTAAATAAACTTTTCCAGTAGCTGGTCCATTCAATGACCCGTACCAAATCAGTCATAAATCCTTACATACAGATCTAAAAATCACGAAATTTTATATACATCTAGTAGACACATAGATGAATAACTTTTCGGCTTTGAGTTCTGCCCAAAAACCACTCTATGATCTCGAAATAAATCACACAACGTTTGGAATGAAATATTTTTTCAGTAGATGTTCCATTCGAACGATCCATACCAATTCAGTCATAACTCTATATATATATATCTCTAAAAGTCACAAAACTGTAAAGAGACATAGTAGACACATATATCAACAACTTTCATTCTTTGCATGTTTTCTAAAAATCACTCTAAGATCCCGAAATAAATCACACTAAGTTCGGGTTTTTCCACCCCTAAAATCCGAAAATCTTCTCTTAAAGCACATTTCTCATCACACATGCTTAACCATTCATCATCAAACATCAAGTGTTTAAAATCATCACAAATACCATAATCACATTTCACATGAATTAAATAACTCATAAAATAAACATGGAAAGCATAAACAAAGCAAGAAAAAAATGAAACCTACCTACATTGGATTAATTTTTCTAAAATCTTTTTTGCTTCCTTTTAGTTTCCCTTTCTTTTTCCTTTCTTTTCCCCTTCTCTTCCTTCCCTTTTTTTCTCTTTCTCCCCTCTCTTTCACTCTTTCTTTCTTGGCTTTAAGGCAGCTACGGGATGCACCAAAAATGCATCCTTATCCCTTTTTTTTTTACTTAAATATCTCACCTAATCTCATCCATTTAATGTTCATTACAAGTGTCAAGAGCTTGTGGTGAAATGCAAGGTAAATGTGGCTGAAATTAATGAAAAGATGGGTTTAAATTTTAAGGAGGAAGAGGTGATGGTTAATGGAAATTTGTAGAAAGTAGGGGCCAAAATGTGATTAAATGAGGTTAATTAAATTAACTACATTTTCGAATTCCTCCCGAAATTTCGACAATTAGCACTTTCTCTTTTTTTTTTTCTAATTAATATTTATTCCATATAAAAGAATTTTTCTAACTAATTTACCCAATGTTTTTTTTTATATATAAATATTGACATACACCCGTTACTCTCAACAAATACGTACATACCACATATTCCGGTACATATGTTGACTCGGTTATAGATTTTCACGTACGTAATCGATATATTATATATATACATATGAATATAAATATCTCGATACATATACTTATACGATTATGAATTTTATGAGGGTTACGGCTAGTTTTGGGTGGCGACCTCGGTGGAGAAGGAAGGGAGAGAGCGAAAGGGGAGGAGGAGAGGGAGGTTTCGGGGGGAAAGGAGTTTGGTTTTTGTTTGTTTTACGTTTTTTATGTGTTTTGTTTTTGGAGAAATTTGTATTTATTCATCCACACAAAGTTTGTGTTGGGTTTCAAAATTGATTTGAATTTTTTATTCGTCCACACCCAAAATTGATCTACACCCGGAACAATTAATACTATCTTAGATGATCTTTGATTTTTTTATTAATAATTATTTTTATTGAATATTTATTTATTTATTTAAATATTATGTTATAATTGTAAGGTTAAAATGGTTAAATATATAACCTTAATATGTTCGAGCATCGGCATTTATCAAACGAGTCTTATTATATTCAACACTTAATTTTTATTAAATATCAAACGAGTTTGTGACAAGATAGAACTATAAACGTCTTGTTGTTCATAAGAAATAAATAAAAATTTACAAACATCATATATACTTACAAACTATTAGATTAGTATCAATTTAATACTTAATTATTTTACGTATTAATTTTACAAAATTAATACGGAATAAAAAAATCTGAAAAAATAATGGATAAAAGCAACTAACTTATTATATGCGTAAATAATAATACATGTTATACATATTTAAATTAATTTTATATTGATATTTAATCTAAATTGGCTATTGAATTAATTAATTAGTAAACGAGTTATTGATTATTCTATGGAGACGATTAATTATCTATCTTGTCATTTCGATAGATGCTATATGCTAGATTTTTATTTTATTATCATTTGTGTTATTTTCATGAAAAAAATATTCATACAAATTTATTATAAGTATTTAAATATATATATATATATATTATATATATATATATATCCAAACAAGAAAAATATACTTTCTTTCCTTTCATTTCCACTCTTATCCAAACAATAAGTGGAAAATAGATTTCTTTACTCTCTCTTTTCTTTTTTTCACTTTTTGCTCTCTCTTTTCTTTCCTCCCAAGAGGAAATATCCAAACAAGGGGTTAGTTTGTTTTGTTAATGTTAATATGCACACGAGTCATTGACTACAATTATCATCAAATTTCCTTCAAAGAAAGCCAAAAAAAAAATAATAATAAATAAAAAAATAAAATAAAATTCAAACTTTTGAGTGTCGTAACCCAAAATTCCCTTTTTTATTTTATTTTATTGCTATTTATTTCATTTTGGAGTTTACTATAGTATATACTATAGTAAACTCCAAAATGAAATAAATAGCAATAAAAAATAAAAGAAGAAATTTTGGGTTACATCCTTTTTAAAATGCTTACGGTGTAAAGTTACTAAAAAACATATTTTTCATTTGAAGGATGGCCTACCTTGAAAGTCAAATGAAAAAGATATTTTTTAATGATTTTATTTAATAAACTTATAAAAAAGATTTTTTTTAATGATTAAACTTGAAAATAAATCTATGCTGGAATGACTTTGTTATGAAGGACGACTTACTCCGAAAATTAAATATGCAGTACATGATTTTGTTGTCAAGTCTGGACTAACTCTAGCTTACTCCGAATAATTGAGGAAACATCAATTTTATATCCAAAATATTTTTTATATTAATTTTATTCTTAAAATATTTTGATTTCTTAATTAAGATTTTTGTTAGAATCACATCACAAAAAACATTAATTTCCCTAAAAAAAAATTGATTTCGTTTTTTACAAAGAAAAGTACAATTGATATCAAATTTATTGGGGTTAACATTTAGAAAAATACAACTGATACCAAATTTGTAAACACATTAATCAATATTTTTTTCCTTTGAGTGATCTTAAGGACGCACTCAATATCTCGATCTGGTGTATAATTGATGCTCTCAATTCATATTAGAAAGTACCCATTTCAATTACATTCGTGAGACTCGCATGAATCTAGTTGGAGAGAAAAACTTTGGAAAAAAAACAATAAATAAAAAAAGAAGATTTGGCCTTAAAAAAAAAATTTCAAGACCGGATGAACAAAAACATTACCGGCCTAATAGGCCAGCATCGGCTTATTATAGGTCCAAAAATTTCCCGACATGACGCAGGCATCTAGATGGAGCCGCAGATGAATCATATTATATAATTTTTTATTTATTTATTTATTTTTTTCATGAGAAAAATCTCCAGCTCTTAATGATAAATTAAAATTGGATAACTGAGAAAATCGCAAATGATATCATACAAGAGTTGGACAAGTCATCCAAAATCAATTGCTAAATGTTATATGCGAACAAAAAATATAATAATGCACTTCTTAATAATCTTTATTCTTTTTATTCACAAAATTGAAAATCACGTAACATTAAAGTATATTGGAAGTTTGGTCACTAAAGTCTTACTTCTTTTTAATTCTATTTAGAACCACTATATAAGTAATGATGAAGAAGCTCAAACCAATAAAACTAGTGGCTATGGCAAGCCCTAAGTTAGGTGCTAGCATTGCATAAGTACCTGTGACGAATGCGATCACCATTGTAGCCATGGAAAGCTCGGTAAGAATTGCTGCGGCTGTAAAATTATTTCGGACGCTTGGTCTAAATGGTGACATAAAAAAGTGGATAAAGACAGCTGAAAGGGAAAGAACCATTGACATGGTATCAGATATAACAAAAGCAATGAAAGCTGCTTTTTTGCTTAGAATTGCAGTACCCTGGGCAGGACCTTGCTCATTCTTGTAACCTCCGGGCAGGGTAAATGCTACTGCAAATGTTACTGTTGCTATCAGTACTGCTGTTACTAGATCAGACTCTCTTGATTTTTGGATTTCAGAGATGTCCTTCTTCTTGTTCACAACTATGCGCCCATGCGGTCCACTTCCAAAATCTGCCAATGATTCTAAGATCTCTTTCTGCGACAAGTTTTGGCTAAAATATTTAGTAACTCCCTCTTTTATCAACCAACAAGCCTTTTTATTTATTTATTAAAACATCATAAATAGTTAAGAGTTCAAGTTCTCCCTTCTCATTTCTCTTTAAATAAATAAATATATATATAAAAAAAGCACAAGGTTGGTATTTGTGTGTATGTTTTAGTTCAAAGATTTTTTAATTAAGGATATGTGTTTAATAATAATAGGTTTAATGGTAAATTTTGCTCCGATTCTATCATCATTTAGCAATTTCAAGTTTTTAATATCAAATTTCGTAGTTTAAATCCTTAAACTATTTATTTTTGAGCAAAATTGATCCAATTTTTATATAATAGTTGATTAAGTTGATTAATATTTAAAATGAAAAAATAACGTCATTTTGACATTCTCGCTATTAATTATAAATTTTTTTTTAAAAAAAATGTTTTAGAGAAGGAAAGTATTTTCGCAATAAATGTCTTTTCAAAATGAATTCATTTTTCGACAAACAAAAACTTTCGTTTTCAACAATTTGCATTACCATTAGTCAAGGAGATTACGTACCTTTTTCTCAGGAAAATTTCCTTTTAATAAGTCATCAACGCTCAGGCCTTGCTTGTTAACTCCACACATCTTGCTTTTACTAGTTCTGAATTCATATGGGAGAATGTACCAGGAAAATTTGCTGAAAGCAGCAAGTAGATGAAGGGGCGTGTTTCCTTCCTCATCCTTCTCATATATCAGCTGGCCAAGTTTAGAAATTTTCACAGCCTTTCCAAATACTTCTCTTCTTTTCGTACTAGCTACAGCATAGTGAAGAGCATTCCAACCTCTATTGTCAACTAGTTCACAGCAAGTTGGACAAGCTGAAACAATCTCTTCAATCACTTCGGCATTTCCTTGGATGGCAGCTATGTGAAGAGCTGTTCTCTTCTTGTCTGTGTCAACAATGTAGGCTGCGGACCCATCATATTTTAGTAATAGTTTTGCTGATAAAGTACTATTCCTATGAGAGAAATAGGCAGCGTAGTGAAGCGGCGACCACCCATTTTCATCTGTTATTTTCGTCAAACTCTGTTCTCTTTCTAATAATTCTTTTACGGTGGCTGAAACAAACAAATAAAAAATATATATATTAATAGCTATGTTCACACAGCAAGTAATATTGTATGAATAGGAAATATGATTAATGCATAATTAACAAAACTGATTTGTTTAAAACAAACCTAACTTAATTCTGGCCTTATCTTTGTCTTTATTTTTTAAAATATGTTTAAGTGCTCGTGATGATTTTGTCCTTCCTTCCTCTCATATTTTAAAAATCATTATATTTTTATCAAAAAAATCATTTTAACTAAACAACTTCAATTGTTAGGTGAGGTTTTAAAAATGATTTTATACTAACTTAGTAATACACATTTTAAATGAAAACTCTTTGAATTTAAAATTTGCATAAATTTATCATTATTTTGTATGGAAAATTTTTAATTTAATTAGAAGAACAAAATTGAATATTCATTAAAAAAGAAACAAAACTTTGATACCATTTCAAATAATCTAGTTTGTTCTCATGAGGTTTTGATTGTTTCGGTGTCTCCCTTAAAATGGTAAATTGAGAATAACACAAACACAAATAATCACATAATCGTGTCAAGATTTGGTAGTGTTCTCTATTAAAAATATTTAATATCAGTTTTAATTTCGTCCTTCGTGGATTAGAGTTCTCCAATAATAATGCATGAATGAAGCAGACTCTACTACTCTAGCACAAAATCTTACCATGATCATCATTCATGACCGCAGCATGCAGTGCTGTTCTGCCGTTGGGGCCACGATAGTCCACTAACTTGCAATTACTTAAGATTGTATCGATCACCATTCTCCTAGCTCTTACTTTAGGACGGCTAAAAATTTTCATATTTGTAACGAGATAGAGTGGAGTTTCTCTATAGTGATTGGCGGAATATAAAAATTCACGGTCCTCTTTAGTCAATATTTCCACCACACGGCTCCGGAGATTTTGAGCTGCCACATGCAACGCTGTATCTTTCTCTGCATTAGTCATCCTCAACATCTTTTTTGCTTCTGAAAGCCCGCTTTCTAAATCAAAAGGTAGAGCTTTTGCACGATCAATGAGGACTGTCACTACATTGGCAAGGTCATGTCGTGCCGCGAAATGTAGTGGGATTTCACCTTTTATGTTGGGTTGCAATAGAAGGGGTGGACACATTTCAAGAATTCGATCCACAATAGCACTGGATTCCGGTTCTCTAATTTGGTTTTCCAAGTAGACGTGAAGAATTGTGTTTTTGTTTGGAGTCAATAGCTGATTAAGAGAAGTTTGATAAAACTTAAATGGATCAATCTTGCCTTGTACTGCAGCTTTGTACAAGGCAGGATCCATGTAGGTGACGCTTTGCTCAGGCAAATCCATCTCGCAAAGCTAAGACGAAATCCAAAGATGAAATGTAATCAAATAATGAAGAGCAGGAGAAACTATATTATGAAACGAGAAGGTAAAGAGGTTGCACTCTACAAATGAACAAGCGGCTGGCTAATTTTATAGTAATGGCACTGCGTAGGACGTACCCGACAGTGGTCTGGAACAGGCTGATATTCCGCGCTTTAGCTTTTACATAAGTAGGTCCAACACGTATTCTTTGTCTTTATCTCCTTGTATTTGTCAGCATGGATTCCTAATTTCTTCAATGCGAATGTGTAGAGAAAGTGCTTCGGCAAAAGTAGGAATCAACCATTCAAAACTCTAGAGTAACCAAGCCAATACCTAACGCAAACACTAAACTATTAGCATGTTCAACCCATCGGAACATATTTGAGACATTAAGAAATCTTTGTCATTAAAATTGTTAAGGGTCATGATCTTTATTAATATATTCTGGGTCCTTCCTATGTAATCAAGGTCTTTTTCTAATTAAAAAATACATACTTTTATTTAATCAAGAACAGAAACAAATTTTAGTCAATTTGGAGTCATATATATTTAATTTATTTACATCCCGTTTTGCCAGGATACCTTGTGAAGTCATTATGTAGTCTTTAGAGCATCATTTTTTTTTAAGCAAGTTGAGATTTTTTTTTATTTGCGGTAGTTGTCATCAAAACGCTTAAACCAATCACTCGCTTACAAGGGTTAATTTATACAAATACCTTTTGAATCATATCCTGTTCTGATTAAAACATGCCAAAATTATTTTGTACTGATTTTGACTCTTGAACTATATCATCTATTGATTTATAGCCGCTATGTTATTTTATCCATTTTTGTCATAACCAAAAAAAAAAAAAAAAAAAAAAAAAAAAAAAAATCTCTTACATTTAACAATTTTATTTTTTAGCCATATTATTTATTCTATTATTTTTTTTAGTTTAGTTTATTTTTTCTTTTATTTGAATTATTTTGAAAAACAAAAGTGTAAAAAAATAAAAATACAAAAAACAAAATATATAGAAAATATAAAAAGTTTCCATCAGGGGACACAATCGTATCAAAAGAAAGTATAATTGAGTCAATTAAGAAATTCAGTATTTAATTACTATCCATAGGGGTCCAATTGATAAAAGTACACTTTATAAGAACTAAAATTACACAAGAAGATGGTACGATTGCAGACAATTGAAATTCGCAGGAATCAAATTAGAATTTTGGAGCGAACGATAGGACTGAAATTGAGCGAACGACCCATCGTCTGCCCCACTCCGGAATCCCTCCAAAATCAGTTGAAAATCTATCCAAATCCTCCATCCGTTTTTTGAATTTTTGAATTTGATCCATTCCCTGTGTTTAGCTAATCAAATCCGAAATCTAACAATTAAAATTTGAGTTTTCGATTTGACTACTGAAATTCGAAGTTTGAATGAATTGATTTTGGGAGAAATTCGAACCAGTTTCGGCCTATAAAAGGTTTCGATTCTGGTTCGAGAGAGGGAGGAAATTGGAGGAGGAAAAATCGAAAACAAAGTAGGAGAGATTTCTGGGTTGTGAGAGAGAGTGAAAATAAAATAAGGGGGGTTGGAATTCGCAAAACTTGGGTTTTAGCTTCTGCATTTCTGGGCTTTTCTGGGTTTTGGGTTGAGTTTTCTTGAATTCTGGGTTTCGTTTCTTCAACTGTCAACACTTTAAATTCCTTGTTTCGGGTTATTATGGGTTCCATTTCATTCCTCACAGGTTTCTCAACTTCATTTCCAGGGATTTGGGGCACAATTTGTCAAATCCTGAATTTTCTCTTTAGCAATTTTGGGCAGGAGTTCATCTGTTCTTCACTGAATCCAAGTTTCTGGGCAAGTGTTCTTCGTTTTGGGGGTTCCGAAGTTGGGTTTTTCTTGCATTTTCTGGGTATATATTAAACATTTGGGGGTTTGCAATTCCAGTTTTCCAGTTCAACTCGCATTTTTGGGTTTTCCTGCTATCTATTTCTGGGCAGCCATTGGTGTTATTCTTACCTTTTCTGGATTGGTGTTCATCCTCTGGGTTTGTGTTCCAGGTTTTGGGTTCTGCTTAATATCAATCCTGGAATCCTGGATGTCAACTAAGCATTCCACATCAACTAAGAACTCCCTGATTCTCCAAAATCATCTCGAAGCTCAATCATTTTCAATCCAATCCACAGGTCAGTGTTCACTAAACTCTGGAATCTCAGGTCTGGTTTTCATCTTGTCAGCTTCCATTTCCTTCGTTTCTGTCATTTGAATTCCTTTGGTTATATAAGCCTTAAGTTTCAAACCATATTGTGAGATGAAAGACTAACAATGGTGTATTCGTTTAATTTTTGGTCTAAAATTAAGTCTTTGTTCCTGGAAAATGCGAAGAAATAGAGAGAGAAATGCGAAGAAAATGAAGAACTAGAGAGAGAGAGGGTCTGCAGGCTGTTAGATCCATTTTCTCGAATTTTTTTTTGCTTCTGGACCTGTTTAGGGGCCTGAGCCCAGTCTAAAAAAACTAAAGGAGGGCTAGACTGATTTTAGTACAACCGAGCAAACAACAAAAAGAGGGCTGGACTGAGCCTCTTTACTTTTTAAAAAAAAAAACGAGAAAGAAACGTAAAGAAGAGATCAGGCTAGCCTCTCTCGAAAAAATAATTAAAAAAAGGGAGTAGGGAAGAAGAAAAATAATTAAAAAAAAGGAAAAAAATAAAATGTTTGACTATAATTTAAATTTTAGATTTTTTTTTGCATGCTTAGTGTTTTATATTTAATTTAGATATTTAATTGCCTTCAATCATTTTAATTACAATTTTAAATTTGTTAAATGACTGTTGGTTGTATTTAATTTAGAATTATCTGTACTTACTTTAATTAAGGTAATTTTAGTCTTTATTCATTAATTTTATGCATGTTTTGTTATTAATTTAGATTTTTTGTATTTTAATTGTATTTAATTTATCGAATCAATATAACTTTACTTTATCTATTTGGTAATTAGGCTCATAAAGTAATAGGTGGAGGATTTTCAAGTCTCCTATTTTTGAGAGACTAATGATAATCTGTTATAGACAAATAATCAAAAAAATAATAAATGATGGAAATTCTCAATGAAGTCTCTTATATAATAAGAATTGTCGTTACCAAAAATCATCATTTAATAACTAGATGTTCTTCGAAACATTGTTTGTATCAAAGTTTAAAGTGGATCCAATATTTGAACCGACATGTCGTCCGACGAAGGGGACCGACGATTGTTTCAATACGATGGCACGTCCAAAACTAAAAAAATTAATTTGCCTTTAAAAATCGAAGTTTGAAATCGGAAAATAATTTGGTATAAATAAAACATTTTAGGAGATAAATTCAGGACTAAGCTAGAAATTGTACATTTCTTCGAAAATGACACTTTTGGGTGATTAAATCTTCCCAAAAGCGTAACCAACTCCTTACCATAACATTTTTGAACTAGTACTACTTTTAAGTTCTTAGTTCCTTAATATTATGTGGCGATTCTAAACTCATAAATAATGAGTAACTCGCATTCTCAGAATAAACCACAAACGAGATGTGAAATCTCTAAAAACCTAGATAGATTTTCTAAAATTTTTTAGGAGTTCAGTCCCACATAGCGTAGCGATAATTTTTAAGAAGAAGAAGAGTAAAGAGAAGTTTCACATCTTTTCTAATAAAAATAATAATAATAAATAAGCAAAAAATAAAGAATTAAAATAAAAAATAAATCTATGTTAGAAAGTAAAATAAAACTTTTTTGAAGTATCACTTAATAATTTAAGATTTTGAGTTAAAATAGTCTTTTAACACGGTATCGGATTTTTAATAACGAAATGGTCACGAATTCGAATCTCATCCTATACTTTCTTTTCTAATTAAATAATTAAACACAAGAACTATACAAGTTTCAAGTTCAAATTGTTTTTACTTAAACAAGTCTCGTTAGAGTAATATAAAACTATTTTTAGAGTTTCATCTAATAACTTAAGTTTTTGGCTTTCACTCAAATGAACACAAAAGGTGATTCTTTTCTAAATGTTCATGACTTGCTTATGTTATTGATGATAAGTGTTTCATTTGCAAAATTATTATTTGCTAACCGTTATGTGTGAATATTGAATTAATTGGCAAGTAAATAATTTAAAAAATATAATTTAATTAAATATTCTTATACATATATAACTTAGAATTCAAAATCTAATTAGTTTCCTAAACATGAATTAATCTAAGAAATAATATCCTAGATAGGTGTTCCACTTAAAATAAAATGTCTAAGTGTAAAATACCAATTTAGGACATATAGCTCGTTAAGGGCATTTTGGGCAAAAATTTTGGCCAAGAGAGATATAAAAGGAGGAAGCTTTGGTTTGGTTTCATTCAACACTTCATTTGCCACTACCTTTTTATTTTGAGAAAGAGCTTGAACAAAGAGAGAAAGAGAGCGAGAGAGACTAAATCAAAAGGAGAGAAAGCAAGGGAGAGCTAAAATTTACCAAGAGAGGAGCTGAAATTTGCCAAGAGAAAGCAAATTTGGCCAGAAGAAGGAAAATGAGGAGAGGGGCTATTTTGACTGAAATAGTGGGTATGAAGGAGAGGGGTGATTTTGAAAGTTTTAAGGTGATACCATCCTCAATCAAACCTAATATAAGTGTAACTTCAATTTACCACAAGACTTAGGATGATTTAAGTGTTAAATTGGTGCAATTGTGTTCTTAGAACCCTAAGATTTTAAATTATGCAATTGAATGATTTGTGTTCAATTAATGTTTTAATTGTGAAATTGATGGATGATTGACCATTGTAATGTTATGCCAAGTGTTTAAATGATGATTGATCATTAAATTGATGGTGGGTAAGTAATTAATTGTTGTTATTGTGAATAAAAAATTTTAGGGTTTATGTTTAAATTATGTGATAGTTGGGATTTGAATAAATGAATGGGGTTTGGTGTAATTGGTGAGTTGATAATCACGATTGGGTGATTAAATTAGAGAAAGAGAAACTTATGAAATGGATTCATTGAGATGAATCATTCGGCCATGACTTAGAATTTAATTTCTTAAAATATCAAAAATATAATAATAAACTAATATTTTACAAGAATTTAATTTCTTTCATATATTTCTTTTTTCATGAGAAAAATCTTTATATATATATATATATATATATATATATATGTATGTATGTTTGTAAATCTATTACTTTTTAGAATAGGGGTCAAAACATATTTAATATTTTGTCAACTATTAAGTTGTTTTTTAATCCAAACTAATCTAAATTTAATACTATTAAAAAATAATTATGACTAGTTATTTGTAGATAATGCAAACTGAATCTTGGTTTTACTCAAATCAAATCAATCATTTACCCATATACCACATTCTTTGATAGTGAGAAGAAAAACGAATCCACTTCAAGTAATCCAAAATCAATTGCTAAATACTGCCAAATGTTATATGCCAACAAAAAAATGTAATACACATCTTAAATTATTCACAAAATTGAAAATCATGTAACATGAAAGTAGATTCGAAGTTTGGTCACTAAAATCTTACATCTTTTTAATTCTATTTAGAACCACTGTATAAGTAATGATGAAGAAACTCAAACCAATAAAACTAATGGTTATGGCAAGCCCTGAGTTAGTGCTAGTACTGCATAATTACCTCTGACAAATGGATAGCCCGATAACAATTGCTGCCGCTGCGTGCAGAATAATTTTGGTCACTTGGTCTAAATGGTGACATGAAAAAGTGATAAAAATAACTGATGAAAAGGAAAGAAGCTGTTTTTTTCTTAGAATTGCAGTACGTTCTCTGGTTAGGATCTTGCCCATTCTTGTAACAACGAGGTATGGGAAATGTCCTTTTTGTTCACAACCATGCCCATGTGGTCCACTTCCAAAATCTGCCAATGATTCTATAATCTCTTCTTCCGACAAGTTTTGTCTAAAATATTGCATAACTCCCTATCTTATCAACTGCTAAGACTGTCTTTTTTTTTTTTTTTTATTCCACAACAAGCTAGTATGTTTTAAAATAAAAAAGAATTTATTTTACTATTACTATCGAGAAAGTTTATGTTATTTGCAGAGCAAGTAATAATATTTACTGTATAATGGAAACAGGCATAAAAAAATAATAATAATAAGTAGAGAGAAAAATAGAATAAAGAATTAAAAAATAAATATATAATTGAATCTATGAGTATTTTAAATTTATCTTTTATAATCTATTTTTAGCTCACTGGAAAGGTCAATTTGGTTGACCAGCAGCATGCTTGACTATAACTATATTTTGTTAAAAAAATTTCAAATTTAGGTAACTGAGAAAACTTAAATAGAAAAATATTAGATATTTAAACAGAATAAAAATAAAAAATTAAATATTTAAATTGCAGTATTTTCTTGTTAAGAGTTTTTTTTTTTTTTTTTTTTTTTTTTTTTTTTTAAGAGTTTTCTTAACAAAGTATAGTGAAGAAGAATAATAAGGAGAGAAGTGTTTCGGCTGTATACCTCTTTTCAATTACAAAATGAATGAATAATCTCTCGCTGCTTAATTTTCTTATTAATACTAAGAGTTGTATCCTAAATAACTAATTAAACTAACTATTGCTAGCTCAGCTTCTAGTTACAACAATTAGTAATCCTGTTAACTAATTGCCATGTAAGTAATTATTATAATAGCTAGTTACTAATATAGAAACCCTAATTCTCAATTCATAACATTTCTTCGATGAATTTTTTGCTGTTTTTCTAATATAAATTTTATTTTAATTCTTTCTTAATCTGATGTAACTCCATCATAAACATTCCCCCTCTAAGAATTTAATTTCTTAAAATATCTAAAATATAGTAATAAACTAATATTTTACAAGAATTTAATTTCTTCCAATATCTAATTAAATAAACCTGAATTATGTGTTGCTTTGTAATTATTTAAGAAGGCTATTTTGCAACGAGAAAATATGCAAACAAATCTACACTTGCTCATTCTTATAAGGTAAAGTCATTCAATATATATGCTCGACAAATCATAAGATATGTGCTATATCTAATTTAACCGATTCAAAACTGTTGGCATGTTATATAGGTTTTCTCAAGCACTATGAGTGTGATTAGGGTTTACGATCCAACATGACTGCATATTCACATTAAGATGTATATTCTATAATTTTGACAAAAAACTTTCATTGTCATAAAATCCCACATCATTTACTCATAAAAAGTTTGTAAGAAATTTTGGTACCTCTTGCATTAGGGGAAGAGTAATGCTAGAGACGCTAATTGTACTTTATTTTTTCTTTCAAAATTTTTGTTACTAGATGATGTATTTCTTGTGATAGTAGAAGGTTTTTCAAATTATGGAATATAAAACTTATGACTTAATTTTTATTATAAAAAAATAAAATAATTACTCTCTCCCTCTTATAAAGAGAATCTTATCAGTCATTTCACACATATTAAGAAAATAAATAAATAAATAAAGAGGTATATCACTTAAGTGGATCCTTCTTTCTTTTCTTGGTTTATATTTTTCGTGATTTGGAGATTAATAGTTAATAGTTAGAAAAGATAATAATTGATTAATGGTGGTTAATTAAAGAAAAGTAAATATAAATACTACTTAGTTATACGGAAAATAAATAAAATAAATATGAAAAGGAAAAGGAAAGACTATATAAGTTCGTTAAGTAGATATAGGAACCGGAGGATACGTCATTTTAAACGACCAACAATGTTGTGGCCCATACTCCGGCCCAAATGGCCAAACCCAAGATGATTTTGCAACTTGGATTGAGCAGCCTCTGCAGCCCTGAATTAAGGAGTTTCCAGATGTTTTAGCCTTTTAGGTGCTCCTGCTAATAGCCGAAAGATCATTTAATTAAAAAATTTAAGCTATTAGATAAGTACTCATGATATAATTTATATTATTTTTTTAATATATTCTCTTAAATGAAAAAATTTTGAACTTGAAACTTACACAAATTCACACTACATTGTACTTAATTAATTAGAAGAGAAAGTGAGATAGTATGATTCAAACTTATGATCGTTTCGTTACCAAAACTCGATACTCGAGTCAAATGATCATCTCATACAAAAGCTTAAGTCATTAGATGAGTTCTCAATATATGATTTATATTATTTTCTAACACTAATAGATATTAATCATATCATCTATCCTAAATCAATCCAGCAATGATCGTTTCTATTAAGAAAAAAAAACTATGTATCTCATTATGGTATGACATAAAACTGATTTTTTAACCCATTTGATTGGGTTGATAACCCCCCTGGGAGAAAAATCTAATTAAGTATTTATATATTCATTTTACAATCTTAATTAAATGGCAGATAGGAAAATTCAAGAGATTTGTTCTTTTTTATTATTATTTGAGTTCAAACTTTAAGAACAATATAGAATTATTTTCATTTAATATACTACATTCATGCGAAGATGCATATTTAGGATCGTTGAAAAATAAAAAATAAAAACCCTAATCTTATGCACGAACTAATCCAAAATACTTCAAACAATTGAACTAATGGACAAATCGCACCTAATTCCATTTTGGTTGTACACATGTCCTAGCATTTACTAGTCGATTGCCCTACTACACGTTGCGGGTCTATGAAACCATTTCGAATTAAAAAACAAAAAATATTATATTTATAATTTTTTGATTAAAATCTTTTTTTAATTAAATTTTTTACGTTTTTCATAATTTTCAACTCATAAAAAAATTATTTTTTTATACATTGATTCTTAAATAAAAGCTTGTAATAATTTAAACTAAAAATTTAATCTAAAATTAAAAAACATGCTATAAAAATATATTTTTCATCAAATCATATCAAAAAATGTTTTTTTGTATTTAACACTAATGAGAAGATTATTTTTTAAGAGTATATATATATATATATATATATAGAGAGAGAGAGAGAGAGAGAGAGAGAGAGAGAGAGAGAGAGAGAGAGAAGCATAAATCGAAAAACATAAAAAAAAAATCGGACACAAATTATTTAAAAAACACTTTTAACTTTTAAATTAAATATATATTTATAATCATGTAACCATCACTTAAAAACTTTAAAACTCCATGATATAATATAAATTATGTCAATTTTTTTTTAAATCATGTTCTAAAATTTTTTTCCAAAATATAAATGTAGAGAAAAATAAATAATATTAATCGGTGAATAAAAAATTCATCGGATGAGAATTTTTATAAGAAAATAACAAATTAAAAAAATTATTTAATAGTGATGAAAAGAATATTTTTTGAAAGTATATACATTTATTCACAAAATAGTCAATAATGTTAGCATAAAAAATTATTTTTGAATCATTGGATGGTTCTTTTTAAACAATTATTTTAATTATTTTATTTTATTAAAAAAAAACTAATAGCAAACATTTGGTGTTTTGTGTGTAGATGAACATTTAATTTTTTTATAAAACCGATGATATATATATATATATATATATATATATATATATATATATATATATATATATATATAATGACAATACTTAGTGGGTTGAGAGCGAGAAGTATCAACTGAAAAGCATAAGAAGAAAAAAAATCAGAATAAAATTATTTAAAAAACACTTTTAACATTTAAATTAAATATATATTTATAATCATACCATAATCGCTTAAAAATTTTAAGAGTCCATGATATAAATTATATTAATTTATTTTTTAAAAAATGTAAAAATAATCATGTTCTAAAAAATTATTCCAAAATCTATACGTAGAGAAAAATAATAGTAGTTATCCGTAAATAAAAATTTATCAAAAATAAAAAATTCATTGGATGAGAATTTTCATAAAAAATGACGAATTTAAATAATAAGAATAACATAATCTGAAATATATGTTTATTTTAAAATGTAAAAAGATATTAAATATATTCCATCCTCATCTAGTTACATTGAAAAAAAAATGTTCGATCTTTCATAATTTTTGCTTAAAATTACTCAATAAAAATTAAATTATTAAAAAAAAGATAGGTAGATTATGGATGACACGTTGTCCGTTGCCCAATTCACGCACAGGAGACGACGTTGCTTGTTTGCAAATTCTAGCTAGCCAAATTTGGTCATAAAACTTACCAAAAAAGTTGTCATTTTTTTTTTAATAATTTTCGGTCTCTTAAACCCAAAGTCGAGTTATTTTTGGCTAAAAACACCTCAAAATCAAAGAAATAAGGTCCATAAACTTGTTTGTTGTCTCAAATTCCATTTTAATACATTCAAAATTCCTAAAATCCCAAATTAAGCATAAAAACCTGAAAATTGAAACTTCAATTTATTTCCTTTAATGATTTCAAGATTTGTGACTACTACAAGTAGATTCTATTCTCCAAGACAAACGAACTATAGGTAATTTTAACTGTTAAGGTGGCCAAAATAGAACTTACCATTCCTCTCTCTTTCTTCTCCCTTCTCTCTCTCTCTCTCTCTCTCTCTCTCTCTCTCTCTCTCTCTCTCTTTTCTCTATCCTCTTAGCAAGAAGAATTGTATGAAAATGAATTTCGGGATCGAAAATATATTTTTTCAAAAAAAAGGATGAAAATGTAATTTTATTGGCAAAACAAAATAAAATAAGAGAAAAGGACGAGTCAAAACTAGCAACGAGAAAACAATGGGCGACTGACCAAAAAAAAAAAAACACTACGAGCGTGCACAATGACAATGAGTCACGATAAACGGTGGGGGAATAATAAACCCCCACTTCTTTTACCCTCTGTTTGGATAGGGAGGAAAGTGGAGGAGAGGAAAGAAAATAGGGAGGAAAGAAACATTTTCCTTCGTTTGGTTTGGAGAGGAAATCGATGGAAAGAAAAAAAAATTAAATAAATAGCTTTTTGGTGGGACCCATTTTCCTCCCAAAATTGGGAGGAAACCGGGGAAAATCACGACAAAATTGACAGGAAACCTATGAAATATATATATTGTCATTTTTGTCCTCATCTCATTTGCCTCATCCGTCCCTCTCCATTTCTCAATTCCATCCAAAAAGCTAGAATCTTCATTAAACACGGTGTAAAAGGAACTGCATGTGTCCTCTCAAATTTGTCTCTCTCTTCGATTTGTTAGTTATTCGCACAGGAGATCCTTCTCTTGCATTCTTTACAAGGTTGTACTCGTGATCTCCTAAAAGACCAAAAAAATCAATCAAATCCATCTTCTCTCTCACCACTAGTCGCCACCTGCGGCCTTCTCTCGTTGCCGTCGAGGGCCATCCGGCCAAAAACCACTCCACCGAATCAACAAGCATGACTCGTTTCCTTCTTCTCCTTCACCCGAACACGCACTAGTCGTCACACCTATGGGCGCTAACCACCGACACTATCATCTCTCCCACGGCCCCACTTGAACCCGCTATCGACCCCGAACCTCCAACAACGACCCAAAATTCGTCCACACCCGGAACAATTATTAACAAAAAAAAATATTTGACATTAATTGTTGGGAGAAGCAAAAAATTTGTGTTGGGATTTACGAGTGTGGAAGAATAAGAGAAATTGATGCGGCTAAAGGGATAAACCATTTGGATGCTTTGACTTTGGTTATGGGCCGGTTTTTCCATGCCATACACTATGCCCTATGGATTTGTGTTTATGACTTTTGACATGGTTGATTCGATTCCGGGTGATTCAATTAGGCGTTTCGAGAATTTTGGGTTTTTGTTGGTTTTGGGTGGCGACCTTAGTGGAGAAGGAAGGGAGAGAGCGAAAGGGGAGGAGGAGAGGGAGGTTTCAAGGGGAAAGGAGTTTGGTTTTTGTTTGTTTTACGTTTTTTATGTGTTTTGTTTTTGGAGAAATTTGTATTTATTCGTCCACACAAAATTTGTGTTGGGTTTCAAAATTGATTTGAATTTTTATTCGTCCACACCCAAAATTGATCTACACCCGAACAATTAATACTATCTTAGATGATCTTGGATTTTTTTATTAATAATTATTTTTATTGAATATTTATTTATACATACAAATATATATATTATAATTGTAAGGTTAAAATGGTTAAGTATATAACCTTAATATGTTCGAGCATAAGCATTTATCAAACGAGTCTTATTATATTCAACACTTAATTTTTATTAAATATCAAACGAGTTTGTGACAAGATAGAACTATAAACGTCTTGTTGTTCATAAGAAATAAATAAAAATTTACAAACATCATATATACTTGCAAACTATTAGATTAGTATCAATTTAATACTTAAATTATTTTTTGTATTAATTTTACAAAATTAATACAGAATAAAAAAATCTGAAAAAATAATGGATAAAAGCAACTAACGTATTATATGCGTAAATAATAATACATGTTATACATATTTAAATTAATTTTATATTAATATTTAATCTAAATTGGCTATTGAATTAATTAATTAGTAAACGGTTATCGATTATTCTATGGAGACGATTAATTATCTATCTTGTCATTTCGATAGATGCTATATACTAGATTTTTATTTTATTATCATTTGTGCTATTTTCATGAAAAAAATATTCATACAAATTTATTATAAGTATTTAAATATATAAATATAATCATAGGGGTATTATAGTAAATAATATATATATCCAAACAAGAAAAATATACTTTCTTTCCTTTCATTTCCACTCTTATCCAAACAATAAGTAGAAAATAGATTTCTTTTTTCTCTCTTTTCTTTTCTCTCACTTTTTTCCACTCTTTTCTTTCCTTTCAAGAGGAAATATCCAAACAAGGGGTTCGTTTGTTTTGTTAATGTTAATATGCGCACGAAGTCATTGACTACAATTATCATCAAATTTCCTTCAAAGAAAGGCAAAAAAAAAAAAAAAAATCAAACTTTTGAGTGTCGTAACCCAAAATTTCCTCTTTTATTTTATTTTATTGCTATTTATTTCATTTTGGAGTTTACTGTAGTAAACTCCAAAATGAAATAAATAGCAATAAAATAAAATAAAAGAGGAAATTTTGGGTTACATCCTTTTAAAAATGCTTACGGTGCAAAGTTACTAAAAAACATATTTTTCATTTGAAGGATGGCCTACCTTGAAAGTCAAATGAAAAAGATATTTTTTAATGATTTTATTTAATAAACTTGTAAAAAAGATTTTTTTTAATGATTAAACTTGAAAATAAATCTATGCTGGAATGACTTTGTTATGAAGGACAACTTACTACGAAAATTAAATATGCGAGTACATGATTTTGTTGTCAAGTTTGGACTAACTCTAGCTTACTCCGAATAATTGAGGAAATATCAATTTTATATCCAAAATATTTTTTATATTAATTTTATTCTTAAAATATTTTGATTTCTTAATTAAGATTTTTGTCAGAATCACATCACAAAAAACATTAATTTCCCTAAAAAAAATATGATTTCGTTTTTTACAAAGAAAAGTACAATTGATATCAAATTTATTGGGGTTAACTTTTAGAAAAATACAACTGATACCAAATTTGTAAACACATTAATCAATATTTTTTTCCTTTGAGTGATCTTAAGGACGCACTCACTATATCGATCTGGTGTATAATTGATGCTCTCAATTCATATTAGAAAGTACCCATTTCAATTACATTCGTGAGACTCGCATGAATTTAGTTGGAGAGAAAAACTTTGGAAAAAAAAAATTAAAAAAAAAGAAGAAGATTTGGCCTTAAAAAAAAAATTTCAAGACCGGATGAACAAAAACATTACCGGCCTAATAGGCCAGCATCGGCTTATTATAGGTCCAAAAATTTCCCGACATGACGCAGGCATCTAGATGGAGCCGCAGATGAATCATATTATATAATTTTTCTTTTATTTATTTATTTTTTTCATGAGAAAAATCTCCAGCTCTTAATGATAAATTAAAATTGGATAACTGAGAAAATCGCAAATGATATCATACAAGAGTTGGACAAGTCATCCAAAATCAATTGCTAAATGTTATATGCGAACAAAAAATATAATAATGCACTTCTTAATAATCTTTATTCTTTTTATTCACAAAATTGAAAATCACGTAACATTAAAGTATATTGGAAGTTTGGTCACTAAAGTCTTACTTCTTTTTAATTCTATTTAGAACCACTATATAAGTAATGATGAAGAAGCTCAAACCAATAAAACTAGTGGCTATGGCAAGCCCTAAGTTAGGTGCTAGCATTGCATAAGTACCTGTGACGAATGCGATCACCATTGTAGCCATGGAAAGCTCGGTAAGAATTGCTGCGGCTATAAAATTATTTCGGACGTTTGGTCTAAATGGTGACATAAAAAAGTGGATAAAGACAGCTGAAAGGGAAAGAACCATTGACATGGTATCAGATATAACAAAAGCAATGAAAGCTGCTTTTTTGCTTAGAATTGCAGTACCCTGGGCAGGACCTTGCTCATTCTTGTAACCTCCGGGCAGGGTAAATGCTACTGCAAATGTTACTGTTGCTATCAGTACTGCTGTTACTAGATCAGACTCTCTTGATTTTTGGATTTCAGAGATGTCCTTCTTCTTGTTCACAACTATGCGCCCATGCGGTCCACTTCCAAAATCTGCCAATGATTCTAAGATCTCTTTCTGCGACAAGTTTTGGCTAAAATATTTAGTAACTCCCTCTTTTATCAACCAACAAGCCTTTTTATTTATTTATTAAAACATCATAAATAGTTAAGAGTTCAAGTTCTCCCTTCTCATTTCTCTTTAAATAAATAAATATATATATAAAAAAAGCACAAGGTTGGTATTTGTGTGTATGTTTTAGTTCAAAGATTTTTTAATTAAGGATATGTGTTTAATAATAATAGGTTTAATGGTAAATTTTGCTCCGATTCTATCATCATTTAGCAATTTCAAGTTTTTAATATCAAATTTCGTAGTTTAAATCCTTAAACTATTGATTTTTGAGCAAAATTGATCCAATTTTTATATAATAGTTGATTAAGTTGATTAATATTTAAAATGAGAAAATAATGTCATTTTGACATTCTGCTATTAATTATAATTTTTTTTTAAAAAAAATATTTTAGAGAAGGAAAGTATTTTCGCAATAAATGTCTTTTCAAAATGAATTCATTTTTCGACAAACAAAAACTTTCGTTTTCAACAATTTGCATTACCATTAGTCAAGGAGATTACGTACTATTCCTATGAGAGAAATAGGCAGCGTAGTGAAGCGGCGACCACCCATTTTCATCTGTTATTTTCGTCAAACTCTGTTCTCTTTCTAATAATTCTTTTACGGTGGCTGAAACAAACAAATAAAAAATATATATATTAATAGCTATGTTCACACAGCAAGTAATATTGTATGAATAGGAAATATGATTAATGCATAATTAACAAAACTGATTTGTTTAAAACAAACCTAACTTAATTCTGGCCTTATCTTTGTCTTTATTTTTTAAAATATGTTTAAGTGCTCGTGATGATTTTGTCCTTCCTTCCTCTCATATTTTAAAAATCATTATATTTTTATCAAAAAATCATTTTAACTAAACAACTTCAATTGTTAGGTGAGGTTTTAAAAATGATTTTATACTAACTTAGTAATACACCTTTTAAATGAAAACTCTTTGAATTTAAAATTTGCATAAATTTATCATTATTTTGTATGAAAAATTTTTAATTTAATTAGAAGAACAAAATTGAATATTCATTAAAAAAGAAACAAAATTTTGATACCATTTCAAATAATCTAGTTTGTTCTCATGAGGTTTTGATTGTTTCGGTGTCTCCCTTAAAATGGTAAATTGAGAATAACACAAACACAAATAATCACATAATCGTGTCAAGATTTGGTAGTGTTCTCTATTAAAAATATTTAATATCAGTTTTAATTTCGTCCTTCGTGGATTAGAGTTCTCCAATAATAATGAATGAATGAAGCGGACTCTACTACTCTAGCACAAAATCTTACCATGATCATCATTCATGACCGCAGCATGCAGTGCTGTTCTGCCGTTGGGGCCACGATAGTCCACTAACTTGCAATTACTTAAGATTGTATCGATCACCATTCTCCTAGCTCTTACTTTAGGACGGCTAAAAATTTTCATATTTGTAACGAGATAGAGTGGAGTTTCTCTATAGTGATTGGCGGAATATAAAAATTCACGGTCCTCTTTAGTCAATATTTCCACCACACGGCTCCGGAGATTTTGAGCTGCCACATGCAACGCTGTATCTTTCTCTGCATTAGTCATCCTCAACATCTTTTTTGCTTCTGAAAGCCCGCTTTCTAAATCAAAAGGTAGAGCTTTTGCACGATCAATGAGGACTGTCACTACATTGGCAAGGTCATGTCGTGCCGCGAAATGTAGTGGGATTTCACCTTTTATGTTGGGTTGCAATAGAAGGGGTGGACACATTTCAAGAATTCGATCCACAATAGCACTGGATTCCGGTTCTCTACTTTGGTTTTCCAAGTAGACGTGAAGAATTGTGTTTTTGTTTGGAGTCAATAGCTGATTAAGAGAAGTTTGATAAAACTTAAATGGATCAATCTTGCCTTGTACTGCAGCTTTGTACAAGGCAGGATCCATGTAGGTGACGCTTTGCTCAGGCAAATCCATCTCGCAAAGCTAAGACGAAATCCAAAGATGAAATGTAATCAAATAATGAAGAGCAGGAGAAACTATATTATGAAACGAGAAGGTAAAGAGGTTGCACTCTACAAATGAACAAGCGGCTGGCTAATTTTATAGTAATGGCACTGCGTACGACGTACCCGACAGTGGTCTGGAACGGGCTGATATTCCGCGCTTTAGCTTTTACATAAGTAGGTCCAACACGTATTCTTTGTCTTTATCTCCTTGTTTTTGTCAGCATGGATTCCTAATTTCTTCAATGTGAATGTGTAGAGAAAGTGCTTCGGCAAAAGTAGGAATCAACCATTCAAAACTCTAGAGTAACCAAGCCAATACCTAACGCAAACACTAAACTATTAGCATGTTCAACCCATCGGAACATATTTGAGACATTAAGAAATCTTTGTCATTAAAATTGTTAAGGGTCATGATCTTTATTAATATATTCTGGGTCCTTCCTATGTAATCAAGGTCTTTTTCTAATTAAAAAATACATACTTTTATTTAATCAAGAACAGAAACAAGTTTTAGTCAATTTGGAGTCATAATTAATTTATTTACATCCCGTTTTGTCAGGATACCTTGTGAAGTCATTATATAGTCTTTAGAGCATCATTTTTTTTAAGCAAGTTGAGATTTTTTTTTATTTGCGGTAGTTGTCATCAAAACGCTTAAACCAATCACTCGCTTACAAGGGTTAATTTATACAAATACCTTTTGAATCATATCCTGTTCTGATTAAAACATGCCAAAATTATTTTGTACTGATTTTGACTCTTGAACTATATCATCTATTGATTTATAGCCGCTATGTTATTTTATCCATTTTTGTCATAACCAAAAAAAAAAAAAAATCACTTACATATAACAATTTTAATTTTTAGCCATATTATTTATTCTATTTTGTTTTGTTTTAGTTTAGTTTATTTCCCTTTTATTTGAATTATTTTGAAAAAAAAAGTAAAAAAATAAAAATACAAAAAGGAAAATATATAGAAAATATAAAAAGTTTCCATTAGGGGACACAATCATATCAAAAGAAAGTATAATTGAAGTGTTTATGAGCATAATTGAGTCAATTAAGAAATTCAGTACTTGAATTACCATCCGTAGGGTCCAATTGATAAAAGTACACTTTATAAGAACTGAAATTACACAGGAAAAGGTACGATCGCAGACAATTGAAATTCGCAGGGATCAAATTAGAATTTTGGACCGAACGACAGGACTGAAATTGCGCGAACGACCCATCGTCTGCCCCGCTCCGGAATCCCTCCAAAATCAGTTGAAAATCTATCCAAATCCTCCAACCGTTTTTTGAATTTTTGAATTTGATCCATTCCCTTGTGTTTAGCTAATCACATTCGAAATCTAAAAATTAAAATTTGCGTTTTAGATTTGACTACTGAAATTCGAAGTTTGAATGAACTGATTTTGGGAGAAATTCGAACCAGTTTCGGCCTATAAAAGGTTTCGAGTCTGGTTCGAGAGAGGAAGGAAATTGGAGGAGGAAAAATCGAAAACAAAGTAGGAGAGATTTCTGGGTTGTGAAAGAGAGCGAAAATAAAAAAAAGGGGGGGGGGGTTGGAATTCGCAAAACTTGGATTTTAGCTTCTGCATTTCTGGGTTTTTCTGGGTTTTGGGTTGAGTTTTCTTGAATTATGGGTTTCATTTCTTCAACTGTCAACCCTTTAAATTCCTTTTTTCGGGTTATTATGGGTTCCATTTCATTCCTCACAGGTTTCTCAACTTCATTTCCAGGGATTTGGGGCACAATTCGTCAAATCCTGAATTTTCTCTTTAGCAATTTTGGGCAGGAGTTCATCTGTTCTTCACTGAATCCAAGTTTCTGGGCAAGTGTTCTTCGTTTTGGGGGTTCCGAAGTTGGGTTTTTCTTGCATTTTCTGGGTATATATTAAACATTCGGGGGTTTGCAATTCCAGTTTTCCAGTTCAACTCGCATTTTTGGGTTTTCCTGCTATCTATTTCTGGGCAGCCGTTGGTGTTATTCTTACCTTTTCTGGATTGGTGTTCATCCTCTGGGTTTGTGTTCCAGGTTCTGGGTTCTGCTTAATATCAATCCTGGAATCCTGGACGTCAACTAAGCATTCCAAATCAACTAAGAACTCCCTGATTCTCCAAAATCATCTCGAAGCTCAATCATATTTTTTTACTCTTATCCTTTTTATACTCATTGAATATTTTTAATGAATATTTATTGAGTTGAATAAAATAAATATTCATTTTATACTTGATTCATTGTCATCCTTAGCTTCAAGTGACGGTAAAACGAAGTTCAGCTTGAAGTAAGGATTTGTTAATCTACAGGCAATAGCAGCCATTGTAAGAACGGTGAACTCGGACAATCGCAGGCTATGATCAATGAACCATCAGGAGCCACTGTTTATAATATATTTAGAAATCATGCTAGTGAATTTGATTGATTGGTCTATCCAGTAGTCGATGAAGCTAGGTGATCAGTTGTTAGCATGGTCCTTTCATGAATTTCGGAAATCCCCAATCCCTAGTTATTAAAAAAGAAAAAAAAAAATCAAAGCAAACAAAACATGAACATGACGAGAAGACAAATGAAAACGAAAGAAACGAAGCCAAAGGGAACAGTGTAATTTTATTTAAGAGTTAAAAACTCACAAATTATCCAAGAATAGGATCACTTGAATCAAACTTAAGAAATTATGTCAATCATACCAACTTATGCTAACCCTTGTGGTATTGTTAAAACTTAAATGATGAAACTAGCAGTAAGAATTTAAGTTTTTGTAGCAAGAAATATTATTAATCTTAATAGTGTTACAAAATAATATAAAATCATTTCTGACATTTTAATTTCTTCTATTGAGATTATTATTTACATAATATCAAAATTTTAATAATCTACTAATGATGAGTTCAAAATTCCATTATTTTTATTTTCTCTTATTAAAATTAAATAATTAAATACAAAAAAGATAAAAAGATTTAGAACTTAAAACGTTTGATTTGAGATAATTTTTTTTTGATAAATAGAGAGAAAAAGCCTCCTAAATCAAAAAAAAAAAAACCTCAAGGAACCATATATCCATTATTTCTCATCAAAATTTTAAAAAAGCATTAAAAACGAAATCTTGCTATATATCTCTTAGTATGCTAGACATTGCTTTTCAAAAGAACCAGAAAGAAAAAGAAATAAATAAAAAAGAAGCGAAACAACTAGATAAAAGAAAAGGAATGAGAAAAAAGAAAAGAAAAGAGAAAAAGAAAAAGAAAGAAAGAAAGAAATGAAAGGGTAGTGGTATTGATCGACTAACTAGGGGCAGTTAATTCCTTTCTTCGCCAAACGATAAGGAATCATTTCTTCATAACGCATCATCTTTTATGACTTACTCATCATTTTCTGATCATGTCCTAAATTTCATCCTTAGCATTTTCACTATTATCTTCTAACATTTCGTTTTCCACGTGGATTAAAATATGAAGCTGAGGATCGTTCTACATGATAAGACGAGAATGAATTTTTTTTTTTTAAATATACTAATCTCTTCTTATATATTTAAAATCTCTCATATATCTCTAAATTTTTAATTGCATTTTGTCTCGTCTCGGAAGTATTTGAAATGTTCAACATGTTTTTCCGATCAATTTTTTCAATCATATATTTTTTTATCGAAATATCTCCGATTGAAATAAAAAATAAAATTAAAATTAAAAACTTCAAAAATAGAACATGTAACTCATGTGACTTTAATTGTTTTTTAAAGGGCATTTTAGTTAATTATATATAATAAAAAAAACTTGATCATAAAAACAAATTGAATATTTCAATAAATTTTAGAACCATGTAATTGAAAATATAGAAATAGATAAGAGACTTTGAGTATTATATAAAAGCACGTGAATATAGAGAAATTTTATAATACACGAGGAATAACTAGTGACATGTATAGTAGTTACTTCATGGATTCACTTTGAAGAGAGAGATAGACACAAAAAAGAGAGAAATTACATTCATACCCACTAAAAGTCATAAGAAGATTTTCACATTTATTCAAATTTTTTTATTTTCTCTCTCCTGTTTCTCTCTGTCTCTTTTTGTGTCTATCTCTCTCCTCAAAGTGGGTTCATGGATAATTAATGTTTACGCCACTAGTTACTCCCGATGTATTATAAAATTGCTCCGTGAATATATATATCCAAAGATATAATTCCTTATTCAAACATTTGTAAACAAATACTTAATTTAAACCTTGGAAGAAAATTTAAAATTTTGCAATAGATTTGACTAGGTGAATATAAGTTACATGTTTTTAATACTCCTTTTTAATATGCCAAAATTCACAATGAGATCTTACAATTATTTACTAAAACAAGAGTTTTGATACTCAAAAAGTCTTGAAGTTGGATTTAAAAAAAGATAATGAAACTTGAAATGTCCGAAAATATCTAGTTTATGAGGTTTAGATTTCATAAATGAGAATATTAGTGAATCTTTACAAGTAATATAAGGGTAAATTTTAATTTTTCTCTCAAAGAATTGAGAAACTTTTTTAATTTTTCTTTCGATTTTGTTTGTCTCAATTATTCTTCTAAACTTTTATCAAAATTTCAATTTTTTCATTCCATGCATTAGACTAACATAACAAATATTGAAGGTAAAATGATAAGAGGAGTGACATTAGATATGGGCTGCTAGTAAACTCAAAGAGTTCGGCTATTAGAATCAACCAAAGACTACACTTAATCCAACAGTGACCTAGCTCAAAAAGTGTTGAACTTATTCATGATTGATGTAAAAACTAATATGAAGATATCCCACTATATATATATAGATAATCATATGATTTTTTTATGTTTCCATTGACTTTCTAAAGTATTAAAAAATTCATCAAAATTCGTCATCAAAATTTGAAAAATGATATTGAAAGTTTTTTTATTTCAATTATGAATTTTAATATGATTTAAGGGATTAGTATTGAAATTTCAATTATGATTTGGACAAAATTATAGTGTAGTAGTATTATTAAATTTATTATATTAAACTCTAAGTTTTACACAATTGACTTCTTCTTTTTTAGAAGCTATGGTAACTTGGCATTACATCATTATGATTTCATTAAAATATACAGGATCTATAGTTTGAGTTATGTATTTTTATTAATATTTTTTTATATAGTAAAAGTTTATAAATTTAAAAAATATAAGATAAAAAAAGGAAAATATAATCCTAATTAAAAAAAAAGATAGTTAATGTAATTGAGGAATGTGTATTCAATTAAGATTTTTTAAATACTTTAGAAAGTTAATTGAAACATAAAAAATACCAGTTAATAATAGATGGGAGGAAAGAATAAAAACTTTAACAAAAATTCAGGAAGTAATTGATACAAGCAAAACTTCAAGAATGAAATTTAGAAACCTCTCAAAGTTCAGGGAGCAAATTAGAATTTACCCTAATTATAAATAATCTGAAAGTTGCAACATTGGACCTATGATATATGATATAATACTAATATAACGTTGTCTTATTCAAACAGTCGTAAACAAAAACTCACAAGAAAACTTGAAATGTCCATGTCTGTAAATTCAGTCATTCAAGTAAAATGAGTTCGAGAACTGAAGAACTCCTAATGGTAATCGATTATGTAGGTTACCCATGCATAAATTTTGTTTTCTTTAATGTCAATTGTCTACTTTAAGATAATTTTGATTAAAAAATCCAAAAAAAGTAACTTCACTAAGAATATGACTGGCATTACTTATAAAAAATAATTTTTGATTTTGAATTATAATGCAAAAATTGTTTTTCATAAATATCTTGCAACAAAAACGAATCAAGTTTAAAATGTGTTTGATTAAAAATGACTCAAATTATATATATATATATATTGAAGAAAAGAAGTAAGTATAAATTAACTCAAAAGTTTAGAATTTTAACTTTTGATTAAAACAAAATATTAACTCAATTTTATAACAAACTTTTGATTTAAATAAAAAATTATTTCTTACTATTTATTTATTAATTTTTTAATAAAAAAATTTGAAAAACAAAATCAATTTAAAAAAATCATACCGATTATAATCGAGTCTACTCACTTAAAACAGTGCATCAACACGGATCATGCACCAAGATGTTGTGTACAATGGATATCCGTTGCTCCGCTTGTTTTACTAGCCCAACAATAAATGACGAGACTCTCTGGAGTAAATTATAGATTAATCCTTCCATCATATATATATATATATATATATATAAACAAATTATTTAGCTTTTATTTTAGAGAAATTTTATAATCCACAAAAAGAGAGAGAGAAAAATAAGAAAGAAAAAATAAAAAAATTTGAACGGACATAAAAATCTTCTTATCACTTTTGATAAGTATGGATGTAATTTCTCTTTTTTTTTTTATATATATCTATCTCTCTCCTCAAAGTGAATCAAATGAGTAACTACTATACATACCACTAGTTACTCCTTGTGTATTATAAAATTTTCCAATGTTTTATTTTGTCATAATCCTTCTATACTTTTAATTATTTTTTCTTTTTTATTTTTTGACACAAAAAAAAAAAAAGAAATTGAATAAAAGAAAAAAAAAAGAAAGAACGAGGTTACAAGAAAATTCAAAACTATAAAGACTAAATAATTAGTTTTCAAAAAATAAAAGACTAGTTAATTCATTTTCAAAACTGGACGGACTGAATTCATAATTTACTCGGTTTTCTGCCAAAGGGAGAAAGGTGTTTATCGTTACAAAGTGATATGCTTTTATGTTTTTTCCTTTACAAAAATAACACAATCAAATTTACAATTAATAATGTATACTAAAATAATAATAATAATAATAATAATCACACTTGTTCTTGTCGGTTTTTAAGGTGGGAACTCTGCATTCCATATGGAAAAACAAGCAGCAAAACCCTTTCAAAAGTTATTTGCATTGATCTATACAGGTAAAGAGAGGCTCCTCAGGTTCGCAAGGTTATTTTCTGGTTTTATCTCCCATGAATTAACCTGCTGTGCTTCCTCAGGAAGTATAAAAGGCAAAGAGATCTGACGGATCATCAATTCACCACAAAATGGACATTCGCTTGCGATTGCATCATCCAGCTGCGAACGGAGCTGGAAATCACAATGAAGGAAAGTCGATTAGAATTCACCATTAGGAGGCTTTAGTTCATTCATGATAGTAATCAAGTAAAAGCAAGTTAAAACCTAGAGTAGTATTCAGCTAATAGCCAACCTTCAAACACAAAATAGACTAGTACCACAGGCAAGTTTAGGTTTGATTTCAAAGTCGTATCAAACCCCTTCCCATTTCCACTAAATGTTTACTTGTAAATGACAAAACATAAAACAAACCTTATCTGCAGGAGTCATGCTAGTAATGGAATCCTCAGTAATGCCACCATTCATGTCTTTCCTAGCTCCGTCACCAAGCAACGTGAGCTGCTTCTGCAGATCCAGTATATATTCAGCCTGCATCATTCATTTGAAAAACGAAGGTTGAAAAGGTCAGATCAAGTATGAAAGTTCCTGCAAGTGAGATATTTATACAACCACAACAAAACCAGAGTTCTACTTTCAGGGGACAAGCAAAATAATAAGCTTGTGCAGATATAATTAAACATGATCCAGATGATCGTTCAATCACAATTTTGCCAGCACAATTCCTCGGTTCAGAGCTAACCATAACACATGCTATTACTACAATCTGCAGAAGTTTTTAACCAATTGATGTTCTTTTTTACTTCTATCCACATGAAAAAAGAAGTCGGTGGATATGACCAGCAGAGGCCCAGTTGTTTAAATGATCCTTGTGCTGGTGAAATGTAATGCATTTCCAAGCACTAGTTTCCGAATCTATTAATGTTGTAGCCATTAATGGATGTGCTTTTAATGTTATTCAAAGTAGAAATAGATGGTAGTAATACGATTGGCTATTTAATCAGATCAGAAGGTACTTTGACTTCCAAGTTGCACCTATCAAATAAAATGCTATCCTGCTTATCAAATTTGCAACAGTATTTAACCAAAAATACTATGTCAGAAATGCAGCACAACTTACTTGAGTTTCATTAACAGAAAATGTCACATGGGCAATCAGGCAGTGTGCATGAAAGGCATGCCCACATGGAAATACATAGAAGGGAGCCATTTGTCCAACCGTTGTATAGCCCCGAGACACTCGGTAGTCCCCACCCACAATCAAGATTTTGCGCTTACAAATCTGAGAAGAATAAAATCAGTAAGATGATAATAGGACTTCATTTTAAGCCTTGAGAATAACAAGTTTAAATATGAGCTATGCAACTTGGAACCATTGGTTTGTGCAACAGTAAAAATCTTGGACTGGCAACAGGAAGGTCCAATTTTGAATGTTGACAGTAACCACCTCATGCAAAATACTGAAGGCTGGGACTATCTCCAAAGTCCAAATGCTTGTTCCTATGACCTAGCATAACACCGAAGGCTGGGACTATCTCCAAAGTCCAAATTCTTGTTCCTACGACCCATCTACAGTGGGATGACAACAGGGTAATGATGCCAATTAAAAGACAACAGGAATAAACATAGTACAAGGGAAGACCTAATTTAGCCCCCACTATTGTTGGCCTTAAAATTTTTTAGAGTTTCAGGACAAAAATACAGCGAAAAATTTTAAAAGGGGAGACTGATCAAGAAAAGTATAATTTTACTCCTAAGGCACGGGAAGTGTAAGTGATATCCCAACCCATGGAAGTATATGGAAGTATAATTTCACTCCAAAGTCCAAATTCTTGTTCCTACGACCCATCTACAGTGGGAGGACAACAGGGTAATGATGCCAATTAAAAGACAACAGGAGTAAACATAGTACAAGGGAAGACCTAATTTAGCCCCTAATATTGTTGGCCTTGGAATTTTTTAGAGTTTCAGGAAAAAAATACAGCGAAAAATTTCAAAGGGGAGACTGATCAAGAAAAGTATAATTTTACTCCTAAGGCACGGGAAGTGTAAGTGATATCCCAACCCATGGAAGTATATGGAAGTATAATTTCACTCCAAAGTCCATATTCTTGTTCCTACGACCCATCTACAGTGGGAGGACAACAGGGTAATGATGCCAATTAAAAGATAACAGGGATAAACATAGTAAAAGGGAAGACCTAATTTAGCCCCTACTATTGTTGGCCTTGGAATTTTTAGAGTTTCAGGAAAAAAATACAGCGAAAAATTTCAAAGGGGAGACTGATCAAGAAAAGTATAATTTTACTCCTAAGGCACGGGAAGTGTAAGTGATATCCCAACCTATGGAAGTATATGGAAAAAGAATAAGTGTAGCTTTAGCATGCAGCTTATAAAAGGAACTAAAGACTGGACAGATCAATACCCCACATTCCTCGTCACGATCAATGACAGCATATCTTTGAGCAAGTGCACTAATATCATTTCTTATGTTGTCAGCGCCATGTGTAGCATCATTCATCTCCTGTTTTAGTTGTTCGATTTGGTTGTTGTAATCCTCCAATGATGAGCAAATTGCCTCCTACAATTGCACAAGAGATTCAGCTCTATTATAAAAGCCAGCAGCAAAGGGACAGTAAAATACTGATGTCGTAGAATATTCATAAGAGACATAAAATTAGAAAGGCGCACAGCATCTGAAATGGCAATTGGAGAGACAATCTTCGAAAATAAGGTAAGAAGGAATGTCATGGAAAATTATTCCAAAATATCAGAGTAACAAGATTACCTTGAAGTCATCAATTAGGGCAAAGTCTGGAAAGAACGGTAATATATCCTCAATCTTTAGAAGGCCATCAGTTTCCTTGAGAAATGCTATTGCCTTCCTTATATTCTCCCTTTTTGTTCCCTTTTCTTGTCCAATAACATGTTTGGCAACCATAAGCCAAAGCTTCTTTCTCAAGTCTTCATCATCTTCAACCTTGTCAGCTTCAGCCATTGCAAGCTCAGGATCAACCTAATTACAAGAGGGAATACGCCAAAATAGCATAAGACCACGCTGAGATGCATAAAAAAAGAACAGTTAGAGACTTTGTCTCATCTAAGGATCTAAAAGCGTTGCAGCCTAGAGGAATAACCAACTTCGTTTCTGAGCTCCTTGGCACTGGAGGTACCTGTAAATTCTGATTGAGAGAACTCTTACGGGCTTTTCTCTTTTCGAATAGGGGTTAGGGTGTCTTATTCAACTTAGGATTTTGGGGTTTTATTCCCTTTGACTATCTTGTCTGAAAATTGTAATGAGTTAAATAATTCTACGAGGTGATGGGTGGATAAAGTTATAATGAAATTTGTAGGGTCCAGTAGGAAATAGGCCCCATGTTTTTAAGTGTTTTTTCCAAGAAAGTACAAGTGTTTAGTAATTTAACAAGACTGTAAAAAAATTTGGTAGTGGATTTCAGAAAATAAAATTTCAAACATGAATTATCCCTTTCCTCACATTAATTCAATCAGTTGTTCATCTGTGAGCCCTGACTTTCTGGATTTTCAGCCATCTTTACTAAAACTTGCAGAAAACTGATCTGGGTATCTGAATTTCTTATGGATTCTTTTTAAACCTAAAGCCATAAGTTTCACTTGGTTTACAGCACTGGTTGCCAATATACTGGAGTACACCAAATTCCTATAAAACAAATTGCAGCAATATCCAGTGTGTTACCTGCAGAGAAAGAGCAACTGCTTCTTCATGCATGTTCATCATGCTGTATATATGAACACAGGCACGCATTCGCTTTTCTTTGAGACAAAGTCGCAAGGCATACTTAGGATCATAGAAGAAATCTGGACCATTTTCTCGTCCTTTCCCAAACTTGCATTGTAGGAAACGCAAAAGTGCGCCATCATCTTCCTGATTATAAATGAAATGAAATATCATTAAAGCAACCCACATATGAACTGTAATAGTACTGTTTGAGCAAAAATTGTGGGTAACGATACATTAACCCAAGTGCTTTCATGGAATAAACGCATGGAGCAAGAAAGGCTTGAATGACTATATTAGCATCAAAAGGATCCAGAAAATACATAGAGTTTACATATCCAGATACATACCCAGTGGCATACTTAACCTTTTGTCAGTAAACAATTCAATCATCAAAATCTTATAATGATACGGAGTGTGTCAAACAAAACATGTAATTACAAACTTAAAGATATCTCCACACGTTAAAATTCTAAGAATGAACCCAACCTGTTTAGCGTAGAGAGAAAGAAGCAAATTGTGAACTCCAGGATCCTCATTATGCAAACGATGAACACAGAATTCCAAATATTTGATGACTTCATGGGTTTCATTCCTGCAGGTGACACATAGTTGTGGTGAAAAGAGATCAACGATTCACCAGAAAGAACAAATACCTAGTGCAACATCTATATGTTAATAACAGAACAGGGAACAGAACTTTTGAAGGTTATGGCAATTTATAACTATTGTTCTATCAATTGGTGGTCTGCATGACGATATAAGATGCAAACTTCCTTTCACAAAAATAATTTCCTGCCATGGAAGCCACGGATCAGATACAAACCAAAAAAAAAAAAAAAAACCATGTATGCCGCAATGTAGGAAGAGTAGGCCTGTGATTGTAATTGATGCGCTATTTTCAATTTAACAACCATGTACAATGAAAAACATTTGCATATAATTAATGAAACATGACTTGTTTATCTAAGACATATTTTAGAGAACTATAAATCTCACATTGTTTATCATCGAACTCTGTACAAAAAACATATGATGCTGTTAAAGGAAGTGCCTTTGTAGCTTTGCTGGCAGAGGAAGAAATGGTGGCAGGTCAACTAATTGTCTGGAAACACAAGTCCTACCTCCATGCCATGTGCATTGAAACAAAATCAATGTCTGGCATAAATTAGCTAATAATTTTTTATTAATAGATTCAGGATTCACAGACATTAATGCAAAATTTATGACCCATTAAATGACGACTCGGAGAGAAACCAGAAGGATTAGGAAATCTAGCACTGGTATGAGAAGCAGTGCCAAAGCTAATCTATAAGACTTTCTATCATTTACAAATCTTGTTTAGTGTCAAAATCCACATCATACTAACAGAGACTATCACAAGAAAATTGGGCTCATTTTAATGCTTACAAAAGGAAAATTCGCACCTCTGTAATAAAAGAAAAGGGTTAATGGCTCGATCTATTTTTATATAATATGGTAATTCTCCAATTTGTCCTTATATTCCTAATTGAGTCAATGTATCATTGAATATACGTTAAGTTTCCAATCCAATCTTTTGTCAAGATTTTCAAGCCAAACCACTGAATTATTCACGTGATTTGCACATGACTACTTTTTATTCTCAAAATGCCCTTGCAAGCCAGTCAAATAGAAAGCTTTCATGTGCAAATCATGTGACTAATTCCAATAGTTTAGCTTGAAAATCTTGCCATAGATTAGATACTTAACAAATATTCAAGAATAAAATCAGTTCAATAAAGGATATAAAGACATATTGGAGAATTACTCTACATATTGAGCCATTAACCCAAAAGAAAAACGTAATAATTGAAAAGAGTTGCACCCATTACTTTGCATGAGGTTCACTCGAATAACGCATCATTGCAGGAATCAGTTTTCTTGGGTTCAGGTTCTTTGTGGCCATCCACGACTCAACTGTTTCATATGCATCGAGCACAATGAGGTCTGGGGCAAACTTGTACTGCAAAGCAAAAACAGTCTCATTAAGTACCTTTATAGAAATTATGACTAAAAACAAGGTGATGTGAACTCTTCGAAGTACAGAAGGCATCACAGCAAAAACGCAGCTGCTACCATCCATGATTGGGAAAATGAACCATATTTCAAATCATGCAACTCAAGCATGTACCTGAAGGTCTACAGGAACAGCAGGTTTCTGAAGCACTTCCAATGCTTTCTTCGCTTCTCCTTGCTGGAGTTAACAGTCACCCACCCACCAAAAAACAAAGGCAAATTAATAATATGAATCGCTAAGAAAAGATTAGAACTCATGCATAAAAGGTTGCATATATATATATATATATATATACATACACATATACATATCTATATATACATACACATATACATATCTATATATACATATACATATACATATCTATATACATATAAATATACATATATGGTTTTGTACTATATGTGCTGTCATATGTCATATGGTGTATCTGGTTGGAGAAATGCTAGAATTTCTAAAAACTAGTACTTTCGTGCAATTGTTATGATAGTTTCCTTTCTCTGTGGTGTCACGCTTCATGTGCTTTTAGGGGAGTTTGCTTAGGTGATAATTAGTTGGATTGGGCTGCTCTTTTATGATATTCCTTTTGCTTACTTAATTTGGAGGATGACTTATTCTCCATCATGCTTTTGTAACTCTATTTAGTCAGTTAATATAATTTTCTTTTATCTAGAATAGTTCTTTTTTGTGTGTGCGTGTATGTTTGTTAAGAGAAAAGAAATAAAGAATCTGAATTTCCAATGTCAGCAGTCAGTCACTAACAACAAAAAATGTGACAAAATAAAAATAGAGCTTTATCACATTCCTAATGAACCGACTAAAACGCATCTGCTACAGTCAAAAGGAGTTTGTCCTCAGATAAGTACGATTTACTGAATTGAAGCTGAAGGCAAACGTAGTATTCATTAGCTTTGTTTTATGTTTTCATCCTCTATCACCACTCAAAGAAATGAAAATAGAAGACCAAATTTGCATTTCCAATGAAACTAAACTACAAAGCACGGAAAGTAACAACAATTTTTGGCAATAAAACAAAGGCTGTGAAAGCACCTGAATATAGTGGTGAATTACAATTTCATACTGCTCCTTCAGACTAGCAAAATATACTAGTTCTTCAACCCTGCCATAGCTGCAGAAAAGCATTTCATCTAAAACTTACTCCAGCATATTTTAACAGCAAGGGAACAATCAAGAAATGACAAACAAAAAAATGATAGCAATTTATGCATGAGGATGCAAGAACACCCAAGATGGTTTGGTGTCAGGAAAAACTATCAGAGTGCAAACGAGTTCCTTTTAGCATGCAATAGAATAAGGAACTAACATTAATAGAATGCAATTACATAAAATAAAAAAATAATAAAAAAAGGGCTACTTATCAATGGTTCCAAACACAGCTATCACAAATAAGACAACTTATAAGAGACAGATATTGTAGGTCTAATGGCTATATACGTGCATCAAACACAACCAAAAATCTGTATGATTACCTCTCTAGAAGTCTCATAGTAGTTGCCTCATCCAAGACATCCTTGCAGTCACTGAGGAAAGCACGAAACTCTTGAATGATTGATTGGTACTCAGAACTACGATTCTCCAAAGCATTATCCTCTTCCAAGAGTAGCCGATTTATCTAAAAAATTGTATGTGACATTCATTGCTAAATTTAATGATCCCAGATGCTAATTATAGATGCATATGGAGTGAAAATCTTTTCAAGAAATAGAACTTATACATGCTCAAAAAATACAACTCACTCAGCAACTAAATTTTTTTCATGTTGTAACAAACATAGCCAAAGGCGAATTACTACTTACTAATAATGCAGCAAGTGAAGAAAGTCCGAAAACTTAAACCAGAGCATCTCAAAAACTGCTGCATGCTCATACAAATGTTTTTATAAATGCTTAAATTAAAACAGAAGTAGGTAAAGTTTTGATTAGTATGCCCAGATTCAAAATGCGGAAGATACAAGGACAGCAAAGGAGTTGAAATACCATGATCTCCAAGAAACCAGTCATTTACCCAACAAATAATAGAAACACTTTGCTCTTTGTTTGTTTTTATTTATATTCAGCAATTATTAGCATTTGACTTTTGAGTGAAGCAGACATAAAAGTTGAATATTACAAGTAGAAGAGAGGAAAATGTTCAGAAATGTCTGGTATTGTCGGATGCATCTACCAAACCAAAGCACGTTTCTCTCTTGTACCAGTAACATCTATCAAATTGACAATGCAATCAATCTAGTGTACCAAAGGCCAGTTAAAAGCAAATAACTGAAACAACCGGCTCTATCGAAAATACATGTCAGACAAATGAGTAAGACCTTATCCAAGTACAATTCAGTTGCCCATGTAGAAATCATTGTTATTTGGCACTTGTCATCCTTGGTAAGATTATCAAGCTTCCGCAACAAGAAAGTTCGCAAAGCATCCTGCATGTAAGTAAAGCCAAGTAAGAATTTTCTAGTACAAGCCAATCCTTTTCTTTTGGCAGCCCTGAAAGCTTATCATAAATTAAATATAGATGAAACTTTTTCTCAAGCCCTAACTTATACGCAATTAAGAGATTATACAGCTACCTGTATTTACAGACTCAGACCAATGGGCTTCTAGCTCAAGTGGTGGTGGTCTTTTGATTCTTACCAAGAGGTTACCGGTTCAATTCCTAGCAAAGCTAGGAACACTGGAGTTGTTTCACCCCATGCAAGAGGAGGCCAAATTTAGCCTCTCCTCCTTGATATGGTGGTCAGATTAATCCCCTCCCGGCTGGTATTAAGCTTGGCACCCCCTCCCCTCTAACACTAACAACTAACAACTAATCATATCTATGACCATATATATATATATATATATATATATATATATATACAGACTCAGAATAGCAAAAATAAAAACCATATTATGCACATGCAATTCATATAAATGAAATGATAAGCATGATTAAAATAAAAAAGCTAGGTTGAGAGTGCTGATCCAACTGAAGTTTACTCAATGAAGCATGAATGTCAAATGTGAACTCGTGATGGGGAACTAAAATCCTTCTCGAATTCTCGTTTTAGTATTGCATTTGCTATCTATATATTTATGCAGAAGCATAAACAATTTATGTATTCAATGTAGAAGAAGCATGGACATGCTACGTATTCAATGTGGAAGAAGCATGGAAAACTTCTGGCAGAAAACATGAAATGACACATATGAAATGCAACCATTTTTTTCTGACATAACCATAATGCAGAAAATACAAATGGTCCTGAGGTTCACCTGTTCACCTACAGTAATAAACTTCAGTGTGACTTCCTCAAATGACAAAATGTAATTAATCTGAAAAGAAGAAAAGAAAAGAAAATGGAAAAAAAACTCTTATTAATTATATGTCATCTTCTAAATAATGGCAAAATCACATAATGAATGAGCTACGTCAAAAAATAAAACCAAGAAACAGAGAATTTACTTTAGCATAGAAAGATGCTGCTCTTAGAAAATCCCTGGAGCTGAATGCAGCATCTGCCTGCATCAGAAACCACTCCAGTTATACACTGGCCAGATAACAACAAGGATTCTCAAAAAGACCCTGCTTGCAGATGCAATTGAAATTTAAGGTGCCATAATTCTAAAGTTAAATTCATACATTGCCATCCATCTACTATTTTACTTGCAGCGTGGTTTATTAGACATTACCTGCACTAAATATACTTGGTCTCTCTGGAGTGGGTCACGGCAATTTGCTAAAGCTGCAGCATATTCTTTCATGTCTAGATACACCTTCCACATATCTCGCCCTTCGTCGTTAACAGACACCTATTTATTTCTCGATCCAGTAGCACAAAACCAATAAATTACTTTCATGTGCAACACTGACAAAAAAATAGAGGACTACAGAATCATGACGCAGGCAGAATTAATATTTTCCTTGGTGGTTTCAGTTTTCTTATTTAATTTAGGAATCTTTATGCTATATGAATTATATATGATTCATATAACTTTTAACAGCGATTCCTTTCCTATATGGATTAGGATTTTGACCCAGAACTAGTATAAATAGGCTGCCTATGCTGTCTTTCAGAAATTTCTTATATCATTATCAATCAATATATGGTTTAGAGGTTGTATACGAACCCTAAACCTGTTTTTCTAGTTCCAGCTTCAATTATCTTCTAGTTTTAGCCATCAGATTTCAATTATTTGCTGTTTTGAGTTGATTTCTCTTCCCACACTACATCACATCAAGTAGATACAAACCTGAAAAATAGAATTTTGGTCATATGCATAGAACAAGCCAGCAGTGGCATCACTGCATAATCCGATAACACCCCTTGAAACTGATTCTGATGTTTGGTCAAACTGAAGCTCCTCTATAATTTGCTCACTGATTCTGTTAACAACCTATCAAAACATGACAAGGAAGTTTAAATGCCTAAAGAAGGTAAAATGCATGGATTGGAAAATCCTAGGTGATGCAAAGGCAACCTAATTTAAATCTAAAATACTTCAATAGTCAATCATGAGATGTAATAGAAGAGACTGAGCAAAAGTAAAGGGCTCAAACCGGAGATAGTTACAAAAACGAAAGGTAATGAATGAGAACTTATGTTTATACTCGCTCATAAAATAGACAACCAATTGGCATTATCAAGAGTAAGGGTATCATGAGTGCTTGTTGTGACTTACCTTAACCTCGTTTCCAATAAGAAGTAAGAAATGAAATTCAGAAACTGCCATTGAACTCGGTTTAACTGCATCAACACCATCACTTAACTTTGAATAGTCCAAAAGAGCCTTACTCTCCACAAAATTCTCATCACCAGTTGGGAAACTGCCCAAGAAATTTTCATTGAACAACTGTAAGTAAAGATTTTACAATAGGACAACATTTGCTAAAACATTGAGGACTAGTACGTGGCACACGTAGAAAAACTACAATAGCCATTTGCTAAGACATAAGTTGAACACAAAGCTGTACCAGTAACACAAATTTGTTTATCATTTACCAAAATGTGACAAATAAAAGAATTTTTACAGATGCTTCTGTGGATATAAAGGGAGTAGTCAAGATGTTATTCCCTACCTATGCTGTGCTCCAAAATTTAGGCCACCATGATAGATACCTGCTCCAGAAAGCCATGCAAAATGTATAGCTCTTCTTTGCTTGATAAAGAAATGCAATTCACTGATGGATTTCCAAAATAGCAGAGCAGCTTCATAGTCAGAAAGTTCAAGAAAAATGGAAAATAATAGTCCCAAGTCATCATACAGAACCACATATTACAGATTACAAAAAAATAAAAATAAAGGAACTGAAAATAGCTTTAGGCAATGAGAAGTGCTCGCCTGTTTGGTATTTCCCCGGGCAGTTCCATAAAATGCACTGCACGTTCCAAGTAACTAGCAAAAACCATCTACAAATGCCAAATCAATTGGAATTATAACAAATATCATGTAAAACAAAAAGCTAAACGCCAATAACAAGTTGTTCTAGTCACTTGGTGAGAAATTCATACGCAAGCACAAACAAATTCAGGATCAAAAGCACAAAGAAGATAAGAGTTCTACAGCAATTAGTTTACTTCATGATAGCAAGCAGAATTTTTAACAGAAATAAACTTACCTCCAATAATCCAATTCCAGTAAAAGAATAAAGTCTTGTTGGAGTGACAGCCATCACATAATATCTGGTTCCATTGCTTAAGCTGGCTGTTTCCATCTGCGAACCAGCAAGAGAAGTTAGAGAACAATTGCTTAAGCACAGACATGGATGCCCTATAATTAATCCCAAATCCAATTCCTTCAAATTTTTCAACTTTATCAAACAAAACCAAAGTAAGAGCAAAACCTGCAAACCCATGAAAGCTTCAGGCAATTCCTTTAATTCAAACAAAAACTTTATATACTTCTCCCTCTTATCTTTCTCATCTACAGTCATCTCAAATAGCTGCCCATTATCTGTCCCAATAACAATTTCCTTCGTTGAAGCTGCACAAACAAGAAAAAAAAATTAAATCTAAGACTGCTTTCCTAAAAATCATAAATTCCAGTCAGTTTTCAACTTGTAACTCGAAAAAAAAATCATAACAGTCACATAAAATTCTCATTTCTATTTTCACTTTAATCTACAATTACCATATAATATCAAAATTACACGGTAATTTAGCAATTAATCAATCTTACCGAAATCATAATTCTAATAAAATTACATCAAAATAACAAGCAAAAATTTCCACGGAGTAGAGATTTTACTTTTTCACTTTAATCCACAGTCAAAAAATACATCGAAACCAAAATTGTCCTTTAAAACAAGCAATTCAGGAAAAAAAAATTTAACTAATTACCTTCAGTAATCAGTTGCCGATTCCAAGCAACAGCATTAACGATCAAGCCTTTCAACCTCCCAAGCACACGTGCCTTACTCCATTTAGCATGCATATAAAACGTCTCCGCACCACCTCCACCAACAACGGTGGCAATACAGTGGCTACCACCAGGATCCACAAACACTCTATGTATCGATTGATCCCCAGGCCGTCCACTAGAAAGATCAAAATCTAACATTCCAAGGAAAACAATTAGGTATTCACTTCTTTTATGAACAAAATTAGAAGACTTCGAATGGAAATTAAGTACCGGAAGAACCGCCCGCGCCGAAATCGTGTCGAATAAGCCAACCTTTGCTGGTGCCTAATAAAATGACGTCGTTTCCTGCTGCCATACAGGTGATAACGCCGCGGCCTTTCGATGCGTACCGTTCTAGGAGATCGACGGTGAATACTTGCCGTGATTGATCCATTTTCTGTAAAGACTTTGAATTGAAATTATTAAATTTATCAGCAATGGTTTTAATTGAGTGTTTGTTGAGAAATTTTGAGTTACCCGATGTTTTTGATCGGAGATTGACCGACCGGGAAAGTAGCCTGAGGTGGTAACAGTTGATTGTGAAGTTATCGGTTTAAGGAGGGTTTTCAACGGATATAACTTCTTTGAGTTCAGAATCTACGACGTCGTTCTACACTGCTTTGGTTTGCCAGATAAACACGGGGATAGTTACAATATAGGTATATCAACTTTCAATCTTTTCTCAATCAAGTATATAAATTTTATTTTTTTATTTAAGTATATCAATTTTTAAAAAAATGTCATTCACGTATTTTTATCAATTTTTCTGTTAATCGATAAAGTGTTCGTTCTCCTCAAAATATTAAATTATATTTTTGCTCTTTTTTCTCAATGAAGTACATAAATTTTAATTTTTTTTCAAAATGAATACACCAACTTTTTCAAAACTCGTCAATCAACTATTTTCTTCAATTTCTCCATTAATTGATAACATGTCCGAATACTAAACTATATATTTTTCATCTTTCATTGAAAGAAATTTTTTCTTAAATTATTTTATTATTTTAAAAGTTGAAGAAGAATTAAAAAAATATTTTTAGTTTTAAAATCTCGAACTAAACTTACCGAGATTTGTCTGTGAAAAAAAAAAATTAGGTTTTGGGCATGAAAACCGAAAGAAACACAAATGTGAATTTTTCATCAAGAGGGTTCATTTGTGTTTTTCTTTAATTTTTACTTTTAAACCTAATTGAGTTTTTTTTTTAAAAAAAATCTAATTGAGTTTAGTTTGAAATTTTAAAAATAAAAAATATACTTTTTAATTATTTTTCAAATTATAAAACAGTAAAATAATTCGAGGTGAAAGTTTCATTTAACAAAAGGATGGTAAAATTATAATTTCATATTTGAATACGTTATCAAATTAATGAAAAAAAGTGATGAAAATACTTGATTTATAAATTTGAAAAAGTTGATGTACTCAAACGAAAAAAAATTAAAATTTATATACTCGATTATGAAGAGGCTAAAATTATAATTTGGTATTTTGAGTATATCATATATGTCATTTGTTAGCAAAAAATTCTACGGAAGAATTTTTTATTGATAATTTTAAAAAAATTGATGTACTCAAACGAGAAAAATTAAAATTCATATGCTCGATTGAGAAAAAGTTAAAATTTGGTATACTTATAGTATAATTATTCCAAATAAACACTAGGAGAGTAAATTTTAACTATTTATCTAATCCTTCAAATCCATTTGTAAATTAGTCCTTCTATGATTTTTTTTGTTACCAAATTAGCCCTTCTTTGTTTTTTTGTTTAATTCTTCAAAATTTTAAACGATTCTATCTGTGACATTTTAACTTGCATAAAATGTAAAGTTGTACATAGAAAAAACTTAAAAGTCTACAATGATAGTGTTTTTATATTTATAGAATAATAATAAACGTGATAGTCAATTAAATCAATTAAGAATATAAATTGATTTTTTTAACTCATACATTCGAAGCTTCTAATAGAATTAATATGTTAGGATTTGAATCTATTACTTCTTGTTGCAAGATATTACTACCAATAGGCTACAAACTCTTTAGTGTATATAAATTGATTTCTATATATATCAATTTACTCACAATTTTATAGAATTTGATTACTAATTGATCATTTTGTTATATGAATTTTATTTTAAAAAATGTAATTCTAAACAGTTGTTTAGTAAAGGACGTTTGATTTTTATTTTTTATTTTTTATTTTTATTTATTTATTTTTTTTTTTACTTTCTGAATTTTCAAACTTTGAAGTCAATAGTAAAAAAATATATTTTTTTCACAAGAGATATGATTTAAACGATGGATCTTTAAAATCGTTTGAAAAAGAGATTTAATCGATATGAATTATTTTCGTTGTGAGAATTTATGAATTCGAACTACAAAGCTAACATCCAGAAAAAAAAATAATTTTTACAATAAATTTGATGTGAGCGGTAAATTAATTTAACTACCTACTCCATTTTGATAACAAAAGGATTCAGGAGATTATTAGTGAGTGGTGACTATGATTTTCTTACCTTCCGGTTATGGGTTTTGGCCCAATTTCACTGCAGAAATCATGGGCCGACCCATGCTGGAATACGCTCCTTATGGACCCCATCAAACAAGTATACCAAACGCCGCACCAAATCGCCCGTACAAATTTATGCTTGTTTTGACCAATTAAACCTTTAAATCAAATCGGAGCGTCTAATCTACGCCGTTTATAATCCAACGGTCAATATTCCACCATTAGGCTCCAACGTATACTTTTTCCAACGGTCGAAAAATCTTTAAAACAACAAAAAACTCTCAAAAATCCCCTCACCAAAAACCCAAAAAAAGATCTATTTTTTCTCTCTCTCAAATACAAAGATTCCTTCAAAAAAGAACCAATCTTGATATTTAAAAAACAAAGAAACCCACCATTTTGATCTTTAAAGGAGAAAAATGAGTAGTATTCTTCAATACCCAGATGCGGTTAATGCCCCAGAAGTTCAAGTATGGAACAATGCAGCGTTTGATAATGGAGAATCAGAGGATTCTTTGAATCTCAAGTCTTCTTGGTGGAGTCAAAGTCTTGAATCCAATGCAAGCAAAGAGAATCTTAGCCCAATTTGTGAAAAATCCTCTCCTGTTTTTGTCAATTCTTCAAACCCCCACCAAGCCACTTCAATCAAATACCAATCTTATTAACTCACAAGGGAGTAATTCTTCGAAGGTTGGGTTGTCAAAGATGGTAACTAAAAGAGAAGAGATCAAGAATCGTGATGAGAAAAAGATTGATATGGAGATTGAAGAGATTGAGAAGGAGATTAAGCGTCTATCTTCAAAACTTGAAGCACTTAGGTTTGAAAAGGTGGAGAGGAATATATCAAAGACTATTGAAAAGAGGGGGAGGATTGTGGCTGCAAAATTTATGGAGCAGAAACAGAGTGTCAAGATTGAAGAGCCATTGATTTCAAGTGCTAAATCGAAGATTAATAGAAGAGGGGTCAGTTTAGGGCCAAGTGAGATTTATTCTGGATCCAAATCAAGGTTGTTGTTTGGGAAACAAGAGATGAACACTCCTCTTTCGACGCAGAATCGGCGGAAATCTTGTTTTTGGAAGCTCGAAGAGGTTGATGAGTTAAAGGCAACTAAAGAGAGAGGAAAAAGCTTGAGTGTAAGTCCAAGATCGCGTAAAAATGTGTCGAAGGCTCAAGTTCCTAAACAGGCTGCTACTGCTGTGGGGTCTAGAAGGTCAGTGAAGAAAGAAGATGGGATTATTGCTTCAATCCAACCAAAGAATCTTTTCAAAGATGGCGAAAAATCTTTGCCTAATAAGAAACCCTTGAAGCCCGGAAGAGTCGTGGCAAGTAGGTATAATCAGGTTGGAGGAAATCAGTCTAATGGGAATCTAACTGCTAGTGAGGCTCGAAAGAGGTCTTTGCCTGATAATGAGAAGGAAGATGTTAATAAGAGGCGGGCTTCACGAGTTAATGGGGTGAGTCAGAGAACGGAGAGTAGTAGAGTGAAGAAGAAGTGGGAGATTCCAAGTGAAGTAGTGGTGTATAAGGGTGATGCTGAGGAGGAATCTCCACCAACAATTTCTGTAGTGGCCGAGGTGTTGCCGAAGATTAAGACTGGCAGATGTGTTGCTGAGACTCCAAGGGACTCAGGGGCAGCAAAAAGAGTGGCTGATTTGGTTGGGAAGAAGTCATACTTTTGCGCCAACGAGGAGGCTGAAGCAGGGGACTCTGTTTGTCAGGCCCTGAGTTTTGCAGAAGAGGATGGTGAGGAAGAAGAGTAAACATTTTGGTTTGTTAGTAATTTTTTCTTTTTTTTTCAGTTTTCTTGTTGATAAGCTATAACTCTTGTTATGGGGGTGAGGTTGTTTTTGGTTTGGTCTAAACGGGGTTGGAACTCTCTAAGTTTGTAGTCTAGTTTCATTTGTCTTCGGATAATATGTAATAATATGGTAAGCTTGTCTCTTGCTTTCTGTAATAGTTCAATCTTCAATCATGAAAATGTGCAGTGCTATATCTCATCTTTCCTTCCATCTCAATGGCTAGTAGTTTGATCTATCCTCATATTTTTGCTAGGCAAACCAAGATTGTTATTGGTTGATGCAAATTCTATCGACCAGCAGAAGAAGAGTTCCAATTTTGCTTAATCATAGCTATTATGTATAATTTGATATTCAACCACAATTGATTGCTTGCCATAACCCAGATACTTTTCCAGGGTCAAGAAATTGTTTCTTTTCTATTTATATCTATCCCAAAATGCTTGTCAGATCAGAACTTTAAGTAATATTTTTTTCTAAAATACTTCCAAATAGAGTCTATTTTGTAAAAAATTGTCCAAATATAATTCTCAAAAGAAAAAAAAAGAAGAGGAAAGTATGAATAAAAAATGTTGATATAGTATAACAAGTAATAATTTTATTAATTTGTGTGAGTAAAAGAGGACAATCTTTTGGGACAGGGGGAGTAGTTGAATTCCTACTCTATAACTAATGAAATTATTGAGAGTAATTGTTAGTTCTGAATTTCTGAGTAGTCAAATGCTAAGCCTCCTCTTCTGCAGGTTAACATTTCCTATGGACTATGTTGCAGAATGGAGAAATTAGATTCCTTCAAATTTAGCTTTCTGGATGGTTTGCAATGGCAACCTTTTGAATGTATTGACCTTATCAGATGTTACAGCAAGATGAATGAATAGAATTCACCTTTGCCATCCCTTAACAATGTCTGATTGAACAAATCAGGTGATTCTGATGGTAAGAGAGATTAGTGAAAGTATTAGATTCATAGAAACACAACCATGTTTTGACCTATGGTGGCTGGATTCAGCTAACCAAGATTGCTCATTATCCTCCCTATTATGCCAAATTATGAGATGATACAGCATGGACAGTGGAGGCTGCACAAGTCACCATATAGTGAGTTTGCTCCTCACACTTCGTCTTCGATTTTGCACCGGTCTGCGTATGGATGGCTTGCTTAAGACCCATTGGTTAAGGGATTTAGTTTTGGTCGTCAGGTGGCTAGACAAAATTAGACAGCTGGTAACAGTTATTGACCATACATTAAAGCAATTAATCTTGTGCTTTAAATTAAGAGAAAAAAACTGCTATATTAAAAAATAGATTCTTCTTCTGCATTCATTCTTCTGTTTTTTTTTCTTTTTTTTTTGGAAAAAAAGATATTTCTTTGACTGCAAAGAGATCTTTATATTTCACAAAATTCATGTTTTATACTTTCCTGCTTTCGGGTCTCTTGACATAGTTTTTCTTTTCTTATAAAAAATAAGGTCTGGCAAGTCAAATTAAGAGTTAATGGAAAAAAAAAAAAAGAACCCTAAAGCCGTATTGTTAATTATGTAAGGAGTTAATGCAGGTTTAACGTAAAAAGTTGGTGATGTCCAAATTTTCAGCAAATATAGATCTGCCTCCATTGCAGTTACTCTATTTAGTTCTGTCTAGCATGTCACGTTTCGTTCTCTCACCGTTTAAAATTCATATTTCCTATTTTGTTCCTCAATGTTCTCCATATATAAAATCGTCTTCTTTCTTCCCTAAGGTTTGTAGCTCTTTTTTGAGGAGGAAAAAAAAAAAGAGAGAGAGATAGAAAGTAGGGTTTTACAATGAGACAGTCTGCATTTTTCCAGAGAGCCTCTAGAATTTTTCAAGAGCACCCTATTTTATTTAAGCTGCTTATTGTCTCCACTGTCAGGTTGCAAATCATAACAAACCTTTTATTTATTTAATATGTATATATAATTGTCTGTGTGACCAATTTTTTTTTTTTTTTGAGGATTTATATGTTCTTGAAGCTTTTGGCTATTTTGTATAGACAACATGAACTTTTTTCATAAAAATGTTTCTAAAATGTGTGTTTCATCGTAGTTATTAAAATTTTTCTGTCAATAAGCCCTTTTGGTTCTGTAACAGAGCTTGAGGCCCAACTATTGAGGGTCAGGAGTTAAGAGTGTCAAAATTGAAGAAAAAAGTTTTTGCTTTTCAAAATTGCATGTCAAGCACTCACACACATGGTTGCCTTAATTATTGACAGCAAATCTAAAACTTTTTGTTGGTGCACCAAGCAATAAACATAGTATTTTGGACATGTATTTTATGTTGTGTTTCTGTATGTAAAGCACCATATGTAATGATCCAGTTGACAATTTAGTAATCATGTTGTTTGTTGCCATTGTTTTCAACTTATTTACCTTGATTCTCAAATTATTGCAGTGGTGGAGGTCTGCTAGCATTTTCTGATGCCGGTCCATTTGAAAGATTGATCACAAACTCATCTCAGAATGAAAGCAAGAAAAAGAAGGTGGTGGTTCTTGGAACTGGCTGGGCAGGCACAAGTTTTTTGAAAAACCTGAAGAGCTCTTCCTATGATGTTCAAATTGTTTCTCCCAATAATTTCTTTGCATTTACACCTTTGTTACCCAGTGTAACTAATGGAACAGTGGAAGCACGCAGCATCGTAGAGCCAATTCGAAATATTGTGAAAAAGGTTGGAAGCATTATGTTGTTTACTTGGTTTCTTAAATTAGCATTGCTGATTTATGTTTCTTACCTTTTTTCTTTGTTTTTTTTTATAATATTGCAGAAACCTTATAATGTTGAGTTCAAAGAAGCTGAATGTTATAAGATCGATCCAGTAAACAAGAAGGTTTATTGTCGTTCTAACCAATCCCCGAATTTGGATGGAATTGAAGAATTTACAGTTGATTATGATATCTTGGTGTTGGCCATGGGAGCTCGTGTGAATACTTTCAACACCCCTGGTGTTGAGGAACATGCTCATTTCTTGAAGGTATGTTCTGAATTGTGACTTTGATTTGCAGCTTAAAAAGCTTGTAAATTAGTACCAGTCAGTTATAGCGAAATTCCTAAATTGTTGAATACTCTTAACAAATAGCCACGAAAGAACATCCTAAAACCATGACTTGGTTTCACTGTCCAGGAAGTAGGAGATGCACAGAAGCTTCGGAGGTCGATAATCGACTGTTATGAGCGTGCAAGCCTTCCGAGCGTAAGCGAAGAAGAGAAGAAGCGGATAATGCACTTTGTAGTTGTTGGTGGTGGTCCAACAGGTGTGGAGTATGCAGCAGAGCTCCACGACTTGGCATTTGATGATTTGGCTAAGCTGTATCCCTCAGCTAAAGACTATCTAAAAATAACTCTTCTCGAGGCTGGTGATCACATTTTGAACATGTAAGTCAAATTAGTTCTCTCTGAATTTTTTCAGTTTTGAAGTGTCATTATGGTTATGGTAATGACAGGTTTTTACTTGATTGATTCTTGCAGGTTTGACAAAAGAATTACTACTTTCGCTACCGAGAAATTCCAACGAGAAGGTATTGATGTAAGGACAGGGTCAATGGTTGTAAGAGTTTCTGACAAGGATATTTCTACTAAGGAGAGAAAAACTGGTGAAACTGTTTCTCTGCCATATGGAGTGGTCCTCTGGTCAACTGGCATTGCTACTCGTCCTGTCGTGAAGGATTTTATGAGCCAAATTGGTCAGGTCTATGGCTCTCTAACCATGAGCATCTAGCTATTTTGCCTTCGTTTCCAAATTTTAATTATTAGTTAATTTTCCATTAAATTTACCACCGACAATTGTTATTTGCGCACAGGCTCAAAGGCGTGTTTTGGCAACTGATGAATGGCTGAGGGTTGAAGGATGCAAAGATGTATATGCTCTAGGTGACTCTGCAACTATAAATCAACGCAAAGTCATGGTATGTGAATATAGACATATTCTATATAAACATAGAATAGCATTTTCTGATGAATATTCAATTAACTAGATAGAATAATGTCATGTGATTTATCAGGAAGATATAGCAGCAATATTCAAGAAGGCAGACAAGAACAACACCGGTACTTTAGATCTAAAAGACTTCAAAGAAGTTGTTAGCCACATCTGTGAGAGATACCCTCAAGTGGAGCTTTACCTGCAAAAGAACAAATTGAAAAGTTTTGATGCTCTACTGAAGAATGCTCAAGGGAATGACAAGAAAGAAATAGATATTGAAACATTTAAGAAAGCTCTATCAGAAGTTGATTCTCAAATGAAAAGTCTCCCACCAACTGCTCAGGTAAAACCTAATTTAGTTTTTTATTTTTCTGCTGACATTGCTCAACCTTGTACAAAATTCATTTAGGTTATTGATTTTTTTTTCTTATCAATTTTCTAGGTGGCTGCACAACAAGGAGAATATCTTGCAAAATGTTTCAACAGAATGGAGCTTTGTGAAAAGAATCCTGAGGGTCCTCTCAGGTTCAGGGCATCAGGCCGTCACCAATTTCATCCCTTCAGGTACAAGATGTTCTCTCAACCTTCTTTTTCTCTTCTTCCATGAATTACCTACTGCATGAAATGTACGTATCTGATAATGTACTGAGAGGGATCTAGGCAAGTAAAGAATAACAAATACTAGATGATGAAGTTGCTTACCAAATGACGCTGGCATACAGTATAGTGATGCGTCTGTTTGGTTATAAAATTTCAGGTACAGGCACTTTGGACAATTTGCTCCATTGGGCGGAGAGCAGACTGCAGCTCAACTTCCAGGAGATTGGGTTTCGATCGGCCATAGTACTCAGTGGCTCTGGTACTCGGTGTATGCAAAGTAATGTTTCCATTCATATTCACATGTACTTGATCTATGTCAAAAATTTTCATCATTTGATTGTTCTCCTCCACTTACAGTAAGCTAGTCAGCTGGCGCACCAAAATGTTGGTGATATCAGACTGGTCGAGACGGTTTATATTTGGAAGGGACTCCAGCAAAATCTGAGACAGCTCAGGACAATGTTAGCTACAATAATTAATGTCATATGATGATATTTAGACCCAACAGATTTTGTTCCAAGTTTGTTTTATTCCTCCACTTCATTTTGCCTTGTTTCTTCCTATATCTATGATATTGGTTCTGTCATATTTACATTCATTTGATCATATTCATAGCTCGTTACCTTTATTGGTTCTGCCAAGAGGTTTTTCTCTGCAACAATAACTAACTTTTCTCTTCCTTTAGGCTTTAAGTAATCTTTTCAGGAATGTTTTCAGAATTCGGCATATTTTTATAGTTATTAGTAAATTCATTATCATTCTGTTTTCTAATAAACCTCATTAGATTTTGTTAATGTGGAAACTACTTTGGTAGGATAGCTGCATAAAGTTCTTGAGCCTCATGTTCTGTTTGTCCAACTGATCATATTCTCTGGAATATTTTCAGTTTGTCCAACCTTGCTACTATAATTCTTCTACTCTTACCAGGAAATTAATGATCAAGGTAGATAGCAGATGAGTTTTAGAAAAAGTTATAAGCTTACATTTACAAAGACAACAATACTTCGATGTAACCTTTTGATTTGGAACAACATCAATTGATGAGAAATTCATGAGAATAACTGGTTAAAATGGAATCAAGAGTCTCAGATATTCCTAAACAATCGGAAAATAAAGGAAAATGATTGTACCCAGAAGTTTTTTTCCAGCAAAAAAATGTTTCTGCTAAGAATTTATTTTCTAGAGAAACAAACAGGCAAAGAAGTGCCTGAGGGCTGAGCATCAGTACTGGTTCTGCAAGATACATTCTCCCCAGAACTCTTAGATTCGACTTGAATCTCTTCCGAATACAAACCTTCTTACCCAGTCAGATACCACTAGCGCTCTCGTGCGCCAGCTGACTAGCTTACTGTAAATTGAAAGAAAAATACATGATGACAGTATGTTAACATTAGAGCAGATATCTCTGAATCTGAATCGAAGTATTACCTTGCATATACCGAGTACCAGAGCCACTGAGTACTATAACCAATGGAAATCCAATCTCCTGGAAGCTGAGCTGCAGTTTGCTCTCCTCCCAATGGAGCAAATTGTCCAAAATGCTTATACCTTGCATTGGATAATCGACAGCTGTATCAGCATTCTCTCGAAAACTCTTCATTACACACATCAGCATACATAAACAAATGATGTCTTTGATAGACAACACAGTGTCCTTGTTACGAAACCTTAATTAGTCTCAAGTAAACAGGACTTTTGCGAATAGAACTGATTCATGAAGGCTATTACTTTCTACTTAAATTTTTCTTTCTGAGATGGACCACCTTTTGAATTGCACTGTATATTTCATAGCAAATAGAGTAAGGAAGAACATCTTTTTTGTACCTAAATGGGTGAAACCGATGGCGGCCTGTTCCCCTAAATCTCAGAGGACCCTCAGGATACTTTTCACATCTCTCCATACGATTAAAACAGTTTGCCAGGTATTCACCTTGCTGTGCTGCAACCTTAGAAATTCAAAAAACGAAAAAAAAGATTCAAAATGAGCATTGGTAGCTGGTTGAAAGTTGGAATGCCGGAAAAGGGTAAAAAAATTGAAATTACCTGAGCTGTTGCAGGAAGATGTTTCATTTGAGAATCGACTTCAGCTAGAGCTTTCTTGAATGTTTCAATATCTATCTGTTTTTTGTCATTCCCTTGAGCACTATTTAGTAAAGCATCAAAGCTTTTCAATTTGTTCTTTTCCAAATAAATCTGCACCTGAGGATATCTTTCGCTGATGTGATCAACAACATGTTTAAAATCTTTGAGCTCTAAGGTACCAGTGTTATTCTTGTCTGCCTTGCTGAATATTGCTGCTATATCTTCCTGATAATGAACAAGAAAGAAAAATCAAACTTATTGAACTCGTCAGCAGATAGCCTACAATTGCATATTGACAGGCAGGGATGGCAATGTGGCGGGGCAGGCATGGCCATCCCATCCCTCCCGTGCCCCGTTCGGGGCATATTTTGCGTAACATCTCCGCCCCAAGCGGGGTTGGGGCGGGGCGGGGCCCCATTAGATTGCCATTCTTAAAGGCAAAAGGGCGGGGCTTAAAGGCAATCTGATGGGGCGGGGTGGGGCGGAGCTCCATCGGGGCAGGTCAGATTGCCATCCTTAGAATTGATGACAGGGCACCTTCTAGGCATGTTAGTAACTGTGGTGTTCTCTGTTGCATATAGCTTCTAACAAGAAACAAGATATGCAAAATCTGGCCCAAGGATACACTTACCATTAAAATAAAAAGTTGTATGAAAATTGCCGATAGATAGAGCTAAGTGCTAATTAGGACATATAAAAACTAGAAGACTCTGAGGCCTAAGGCAGAGATATGACATTTCTACATCCATTTACCATGACTTTTCGTTGATTTATCGTGGCACAGTCACCAAGAGCATACACATCATCACACCCTTCAACCCTCAGCCACTCATCAGTTGCTAAAACACGCCTGTTACCCTGAGATCGATCAAAGAAATTTAATCCTCAATGGAGTTATTAAGACACACATTGCTGTGAAGTGTAGGGGAAATATGAAGATACAAATGGCTGTAGGGAGACAGACCTGACCAATTTGCTTCATAAAATCCATGATGACAGGACGAGTAGCAATGCCGGTTGACCAGAGAACCATTCCATAAGGTACAGAAACAGTCTGACCAGTTTTTCTCTCTTTAGTAGAAATATACCTGTCAGAAACGTTAATGACCATTGATCCTGTCTTTACATCAATTCCATCTCTTCCGAACTTCTCTGTAGCAAATTTACTAATTCTGCTGTCAAACCTGTAAGAAACAAGAAATCAAAGGCTCAGACTTTAATCTGATTCTTCATTTCAAGAATCATCATTCGACACTTCTTTTCTTTGGATACGATGATATATTCAGTTGATGTAAAACACCTCTTTTATAGGTATTTCAAGTATAAAATAAATCGAATACGTTCATCTGTGTGTTTAGATTTCATTAGCTATGGTAGTGTACAAAATGCTGCTCCATAATTCCAAACTCTTTCAACAAAACTGGAGTTGAATGATCAGATTCCTGCAGAAAATGGTGTTTCAAACTTCCATATTCAAGGACCATTAAACCGGTAAAAACACAGCAAGAACTATAACCAACTGATAGCGATTGTCATTGACAAACACAGAAAACATAACCATAATCATGCTTAAGAGCCCAGCAAACTAATTTCTTACAGAAGCGATCTGCCTTACATGTTCAAAATGTGATCGCCTGCTTCGAGAAGTGTAATTCTCAGGTAGTCTTTGACTGAAGGATATAGTTTAGCTAAATCATCATGTGCAAAGTCATGAAGTTCTGCAGCATATTCCACACCACTTGGACCACCACCGACAACGACAAAATGCATGATGCGCTTCTTCTCTTCTTCGCTTATACTCGGAAGGCTTGCGCGTTCGTAACAATCAATTATCGACCTGCGAATCTTCTGACCATCTTCTATTTCCTGCATGATGAACTCAACAAGTTCATTTACAGAGTAATTTTAAGAATCTAATTGTTTTTTTCTATGTATAATGCTCTACTGAGCCGATTAAACTCGACATAGTATTTAATATACCTTCAAGAAGTGAGCATGTTCCTCAACACCAGGGGTGTTGAAAGTATTTGATTTAGCTCCTATGGCCACAACCAACACATCATAATCCATGGTGAATTCCTCAGTCCCTCCTAAACTGGCTCGATCGGTACTTCGGCAATAAATTTTCTTCTTTTCTGGATCAATCTTATAACATTCAGCTTCCTTGAATTCAACTTCAAATGATTTCTGCAAGATACTCCAAATCAGCATTTAATCCACGTTAATAAGATCATCACAACTCTAACTACCTTATAGTTGCTCTTCTTTGCCTCTTTCTTACCATGAATTCTAGACATTAAAAGAAGTCCTCAACATTAATTCATGTCATTCTGCATGAAGTATATACACAAAATTCAATGCAACAGTTACATTATGATTCACATTTTCATATACCTTCCTTGCAATATTGCGAATTGGTTCGACAATGCTGCGTGCTTCGACTGTTCCATTTGTAACACTTGGTAACAATGGAGTAAATGCAAAATAGTTACGCGGTGACACTAAATGAACATCATATGAAGAACTCTTCAGGTTTTTCAAAAAACTGATCCCTGCCCAACCAGTTCCAAGAACCACCACCTTCTTTTTCTTCTTGTCTCCTTCAGCAGCAGAACTTTGGAACGTGTTGCCATCAGAAAATGCCAGTAGACCTCCACCACTGCAATAACAGTATGCAAGTCAAATCAAAGAATACATTTAATAAAGAATCATTCATTCTGTGACATTCTACAATTTATCCATACATTTCTTTCTTTCTTTTATTTGCCCTAGCTTACTTCTTTTTGTACAATGGTCATTTTCTTCCCCCCTTCTCCAACCATGGATATGAACAACCACATTTTATGATTAAAAAAAAAAAAAAACTCTTCAGAAATTTTACATCTCTTACATCAAAACACAAAAATATCAAACAGTAGAGAAGAAAACAAAAAACATAAGCGGAAAAAGAGAAGGTAGCCTAGATGATAACCTGACAGTGGAGATAACAAGAAGCTTAGATACTGTAGAGTGGTCATTAAAAGCTCTAAAAGCTTTCTCAAAGAATGTATAGTACCCTTTCATTGTAAAACAAAACTTATGTTTCCTCTTCTGAAAAAAACTAATAAAACAGTTCTTCCATAGGGAAGAATAAATCCAATAGCAGTTTCTAAGGAGAAGTTTTCGGATCACAATATTGTCTCTGTGTCACTTTAACAGAACCTTACCTTCCTAACAGTTTGGTGTTTTTTTTTTCCTTTTTTTTTTTTTTTTTTGGGTTTTGCACATATGGAGACTCTGTACAATTCAAAAAATTTTTATTGAGACCCTAATTTTTTTTTCTGTCCAATTTAAGTGTTTTAGTCTTATATTGTTTTTGTTTCATACCCTAATGTATCTCGTAAGCACACATGATAAGCTCTAATCAATGATAGCTTGCCACATATAATTAAATTAGGTGATTTAATTGGTGATGTGGCAAGGTATTATTGACTAGAGCGCACATGTAATAAGCTATCATTGACTAAGGTTTGAAACAATAACAACATAAAAGTAGAATTCTGTAAATTAGATAGCAAAAAATTAGGATCTCAATAAAAACAAATTCAAATTGTGGAGGTTTTGATATACATAAAATCCTTTTTTTTCTTTGGGTAATATATGATTTTTTTTATATTTGTAAATTAATAAAATCTTCGTACCAGTTTATGCGTTAAACTTTAAATTCATCTCTCCGATTCCATAAAAGAAAATCATTTATTCTCAAATCAGGAAATGGATGAGAAAATACATTATGACATAACGGAATTCAACCTTTATGGACAAGGTGAGGAGCATACCTACTTGCCAACTTTGATTTTTAATGATGACAAAAATGTTAAGATTTGTGTTTTTGATAATTTTATTATCAATAAAAGGAAAAGGTTGGAGAGAATAGGGATCTTCTTGTTGCAAGCTTTCTAAATTTTAGCCACAAGATACATATACCATGGCCTCACCACGTAGGAATTACCAGCATTCATTTGACCAGATCCTAATTTACCTCATTTCAAAATGCCAAGCACCACTCTTTCTGAAGCACTATTCGATTTAAACTTGAAAAATCAAATTGAACCAAAATAAAATAAAGTTTGATTTTTGACCAAAAATAAAGTAAATTTTGGTTTTTAAATCGAAAAACCGAACCGATTCAGTTTTTGTTTTTTTTGTAGGTTCCGCCAACCAAACCGAAAAACCAATCACCTCTGCCCCGTTCTTGTAAGAATGATGAGTAATATTCTTTCCCATATCACTTCCACAAAAATCTCATACAATGATCCCATGAATCCGACCCTTAAAATCTTTTGGAACATGATTTCAAGAGAATTACCAGCCACTGGCAAATTGCCAAATGTAATGCCTTCGTTCATCTATGAATCACTTATCATTTCCACAAGCACACAAGAGGAGTGATTGTCATTTCTAATTGCCACCAAGAGAAATTTGTGTTGTCGTTTGTTACCTTTTCTGTATGTGCATTAAAAGATAGTAGCAGCCTTGAAGACTTAAAGCAAAGACAAGGTCAAGTCTAGAAAAAGTTAGCAACTCCTTCGCAGGGCATGAGCATTGTACATTGTCATGTAAATCAGGGTAAGCCTTCCATACAAGAAAGAATACTTGTCAGCTATTTACAGCACCAGGTTTATCAAGAAATTTGTTAGACTCTTCATGTATATTTCCATCTTCTAGTAAACCAGCAAATGGTGCCAGTTTATCAATTTTACATACCAAAACGAGAGTATATTGACACAAATTTGCAAGGGAAAACAGGAAATCACATATATTTATGCACAATAGGTGAAAATGCTGCAATGGAGTGGTGGGAAAACCAGTGTGCTTTGGGATAGTTTACAGGAGTCGCCATTTGTTGTCTCAAATTCGGCTTGAATCTCTTCCAAATATGAACCTACGAGTCCAATCAGATACAACGAGCACCCTTGTTCGCCAGCTCACTTGTTTGCTGAATGAAAGAAAAGGTTACAGTCAAATTCACGAATGGGAAGACTAAATGCTCACTCAATGAGCTAGCACATCTTGAACTCTAAAAGTAGCAGATAATCACCTGGCATATACAGAATACCAGAGCCACTGTGTGCTGTGACCAATGGAAACCCAGTCTCCAGGCAGTTCTGCAGCAGCCTGCTCTCCTCCCAAAGGAGCAAATTGCCCAAGATGCTTGTATCTTGCATTCCAAAACGTTGACATCTCGGAAGTTAGCAACATGAAGATGGAAAGGTTGCTTGAAAAAAGTGTAATGAAAACTGGCTCATAATGTTCTTATATAGAGTTTATAATAACAGTTCAATAGGAAAAAAAGATGAGCACTTCAAAGACAGATAGCATACTGAAAGGGAACAAATGCATGACGCCCAGAACCCACAAAACGCCGTGGACCTTCAGGATTATCTTTGCGGTGTTCTCTAAGATTGAAACACCTAGAAAGATACGTACCTTGTTGAGCAGCAACCTGAAATATAAAAAATAAGTATATACTGAAATTCCTGTATCATATTTAGAGGAAAAAAAGGTAGACTGACATCAAAATGTACAGTCAGTAGATACAAGACAAATACCTGTGCAGTTGCAGGCAGACTTTTTGTCTGTGAATCCACTTGAGAAAGGGCTAGTTTAAAACCTTCAATATCAACTTCTTTGTCTTTCCCTTCGGCATCTTTCAACAAATCTGTAACATCTCTCAGATGCTTGTTCTTCAAATAGATTTCCAGCTGGGGATACCGTATGAGGATATCATCTACCACATCTTGGAATTCCAGAACAGTCAAGGTTCCAGAATTGTCTTTGTCTGCAGCTTTAAATATGGACACAATATCCTCCTAAGGCATTGAGTCAAATTAAATCTTGTCGAAAAAATTTCACACATTTATACAATTATACAAAAATCAAGAATTTGATGCAAACATGAAATCATGAGGAAAGAAAAAGGTAAATGAATTGATTGTGAAGAAAAGAAAGGCTAATAAAGACATTCAGTTTGTCCATGAAAGGTGGTTCAAGTATTTACATGTCTCTCTAAAAATGATAAATATTAAAAACGTTGGCATGCTTCCATTATTTAGCAACTAAATACACCAGTATTCAATAATTAACGTGATCCACATATGGTATTTTAATGTAAAGGCTTCTTTGGGAGTTTAATCCAGCAGTCAATTTGATTTATCACCATTCTGTATATTCCCTTGACTATAGAAGGTCCCAGGGAATTCATTGAAAGAATCTTTCCAATAAAAATTGTTTGTTCTTGCATATCCCTAATGTTTTTCTAAATTAATCCTGCGGATACATATAATTCAGAAGAATATGTTAGTGATTCATATAGAGCATCTCTTTCTGAAATATGTAATTTTATAAATAATAGTAGAAAAAAGTTTAGTGCACAAACTTCACGAAGAGACTCAACATTCAAGCAAAAGAATGGCATATATTGGAGATCAGAGAAGCAGAACTTGTTACTATCTCTGCTTATTTCCCCCATTTCAAAGAAGCAAAGATCTCTTGTTTATATAAACATGCGCATCTAATCCTAACTTTTAGCGTCTGCACACTATTTTAATGCAAGTTTTCCATGATTTTGGTTATTGAACTTGATTAAGAGAAAAAACAAAGGACAAATTCCAATACGTATAGGCTGAATCTGCAACTACTCTAAGCATTTCTTGATGCAAAATGTCCTCAGGATAAATAAACTAGGCATATCTTAAGAATTGAATTGACAGGCTAAAGGATTCACTTACCATGATCTTACGCTGATCTATTGTGGCACAATCACCTAGTGCATATACATTTTCAGATCCCTTTACTCGCAGCCATTCATTAGTTGCAAGAACGCGTCTGTTGGCCTGCACGTCAAACAAAATTTTAAGGGTAATCAAAAGAGTAAGATTAACCATGAAGTCTGACAACTCTGAAAAACTCAAAATAACTACATGAGCTTTATGCAACTCTGCATCTATAAAAACCTGGATCTTAAGTGACTGTGTAGAATAACCTTCATCCATAAGTGAACATAGTCATATGCAGAGTTAGAATCTGTGACATACAACAAACCTGCCCAATTTGGCCCATGAAGTCCTTCACAACTGGGTGAGTACTAATACCAGTAGACCATACTACCAATCCATGGGGTATAGAGGTAACCTCACCCTTGGATTTGATCTTCATGGTAATTTCTTTATCAGAAACACTGACAACTCTACACCCTGTCTGAACTTCAATACAATCTCTTTGAAACTTCTGCTCAGCGAACGTACTAATTCTCTCATCAAACCTACAAAGGCAGAGTATAGCAGTTGCTTAGTTTTCAAATTTTCATCTTGCTCATTTGCTTAGATGCATTTTTATATGCAAAGATGAAGCTATCATATCAGCAACAAACATATTTCTTTATAAGGAACATGATGCCAGTTATTTGCAGTAATAGTTCCAGTGGTACAGACTAAGTACAGCATCTACAAAACATCAATAGATGTTATGATGATGAAGATGAGAATATCTCACCAGAAATGATAGTTTGGCATTCCAGTGATTTACGTTCAGAAGCATTATAAATGTAAAATGTGAAAGCTAAATCCTTACATGTTCAAAATATGATCTCCAGACTGGATCATGGTTATTTTCACTAGATCTTTAACCATGGGATAAATATTAACTAAATCTTCCTGAAGAAAGTCATGCAGCTCGGCAGCAAACTCCACTCCAGTGGGACCCCCTCCAACAATTACAAAATGAAGGTTTGTCCTTCGCTCTTCTTCAGTCAGGCCAGGGATGGAAGCCTTTTCAAAACAATCAATCACACTTCTGCGGAGCTTCTGTGCATCCTCCAATTCCTGAAAAGTAAGATTTTCTCCCTTAATAGAAAGAAAAGCCCAAGACCTCATGGAAGATTGCTGAATCATAGATATTATATGAAGATTATATGGAACATTAACAAGTAGGATCCCTGGTGCTATTAACAGAAGAAATGTTACCTATCTCCACTCTATGTAACTAAAATGACCCCCCTACCTTCAGAAAATGGCAGTTCTCCATGACACCAGGGGTGTTAAAAGTGTTTACTTGTGCTCCTAATGCTACCACCAGGTAGTCATATTCCAGGGAAAAATCTTCAGCACCAACCACATTGTTCTCAAAATGAGACTTGCAAAAAACCTTGTTGTTTGCAGCATCAATCTTGACACATTCTGCCTCATAAAATTGAATTTCTCCATTTCTCTGCTAGTATAAATGGAAAAAAAACTATAAGAAAAGAAACATAAAAATTGAGTAATCTGTCCGTGCAGTCAATGTTTATATCATGTATGTGTGCTTGCGCATAACCATAAAACCACCACAAACTAATCACAAGATTAAAGTTGGGTATCTTGCTTTACCTTCTTTATGATATTCCTGACCGGTTCTACGATGCTCCGTGCTTCAACTGTACCACAAGTCACACTAGGCAACAGAGGAGTGAAAGCAAAATAGTTGCGCGGTGAAACAACCTGAACATCATATGAAGAAACATCCAGATCTTTAAGGAAACTAGTACCAGCCCAGCCTGTTCCCAGAACCACCACTCTCTTCTTCTTAAACTCATTCTGATTAAGCTCAGCAGCAGGAGCAGCTGTTTCTGATTGTGAATCAGCATATGCCACTAGACCTCCACTACTGTAATAGACCACAAGAAAGCATACATATTTGTTAAAGAATGACTGGTAGAATTCGTGAAATTGTAAGTTCATAGTTCATGCACAATCTATGTTTCAGAATATGGTTTAGCAGATTAAAGCAAAAAAAGAAAAAAGAAAAAAGAAGAAAAAAAAAAAAAAAAGGAACTTGTAATGAATCCAGAAATTATCCTTTCAGGTAGTTTTAACTGCTAGTCTCCTGCTTTAGAATAGGTAAAAGAAAATGATAAGTTATTCAGAGAACTAGGTTCGAACATGGTAGGTGTCATTCAACTAGAACGAGGCCCAGTTCATGACGCATAAAACAAATCAACTATAAACAATGGAAGTTCACTAGTGTAAGATTATTCAACTTAATTTGATCCTATCTTTTATCCTTAAATATCAAAGCATTGACTTCATCATATATCTATACAGATAAACATATCAAAGAATTGACAAATAATTTGTTAAGAGCGCCCTTGGGCATCTTAAATGCTCTATTTTGTGAAATGTTGCTACTGATACAACGGAAGTACTTGATTCTCGGACTGTAGCATTTTGCAAATTTAGTTCCAAAACTCTGTAAAAAAAATGATACATTGCCATCAATTCAACATTTTAATGAATTCTCACTCATCAATATTCAGGTAAATTTCATGCTGCAAATCAATAGACTTCCTTTCACATTACAAGATCATGAATTTCACTTGCTTCGGAGAGGCAAAAAAGTCACTAATCATACTAATGCATCACTCATACATCTAATATTTTCCATTTTGATCAGTGAATCCCAATCAAGTTCCTTCATTGGATCCATCACACTAACAATTCTTTCAAATCAAAAAAAAAAAAAGGGTAACAACCAAATAAATATCTTACATTGACATCAAGAAACTACATTCAACAACAACCTAGCTATCTTAAGATCAAACATCAAAAAGGACAAAAAAAAAATTGAACTTTAGAAAATCCAACCCATTAATTAATAGAAAGATAAAGCTAAGGATTCGAGACCCTTTTGTTTGCTAAGTGATCTAGATTCCTTTAAGAAAAAAGAATGAACCCAAATATTCAAAACTTTCACTTTTTCACAAAAGATTACAACTTTATGTTTTTCCTCGCTTTTTTCTCAGCAAACAAAAGAAAACAGTGTTCTTCTTACACATTCCCCCAAAACACGTTAAAGGGTCTGCCTTTTTACTAAGAAACCGAGTGTTAAAAAAACTACTAGAAAAACCAAAGAAAGCTCTCTTCTTTTTTCTTAAAGGAAACAATAAAAGTACAACGAAAAAAGATAAGTACTGAACTAACCTGAGACTGAAGAGAACAAGAAACTTAGAGTAACCAGGGTAGCCATGGAGAGCTCTTGAAGCTCTATTGACGAAGGACATAATCGTCATTCCCTGAAAAATATCTCAAATTCAAGATGGTCTTGAGAGAGGAGAGAGCTGAAACAATACTGAACAGTGTCTCTTAACTTTCAGGAGAAAGTGATTTGGGGAGAGATAGAAAATACATTCACTTGGACATTTGCAATGGTAGCATAACACATGGCAACTTTTTATTTAGATTTAGCTCATCTTCTTATAGGATGGAGGGAATATTGGGTGGATGCTTGTGATGAATATAAATTTTTTACAGATTTTTTTTTTTAATTATTATTAGACAGTGAAAGTCAATGAAATACTTCAAATTATACGTTAGTCTAAACTAAATTTTTTATTCATGTTATTTTATGAACACATTTCATATTGACTTAATATATTTAAAAGAATCATCCAAAAATTAAGAAGATAATTATCAAATTTATTTCTTGATTACCATCATAAATTCAAGCTTTTGAAAAGGTTAAATAGACTAAAGTTCAAAAATAGTTTGATCCATTTAACCTTTCAAAAATAATATTCACATGTAATTATTGCATAATGATGATTATTCCATCAGTAGAATTTATTTATTTATTTATTGTGAATATGAACAAGTTGAGTCCTTAAATTATACTGTGGAGTTGTGAAAGAAATAGTTTAAAATTCCTAAACTAATAAACAATTTATGATCGACTACTCATGAACAGATATATTATATATTTTTTTATTAGAGTAAAAATACGTGGATCATTAGTACTTGGTACACACAATCATCATTGGATCAGAATACTAATAAAAAAATTCTGACCTAGTATTTTATATCATCTGGAAAACCAAAACCTTGTCCTTAAAACAACCGACAAAAAAATATCAGTCGTAGAGACAAAAGAAAATCTAACTAGAACAAAAAGTATGAGTGTAAAGACCGAAAAAAAAAAAGCTAATCAATTTGTTTTTTTAAAAATAAAGGGACTAATTTACAATTTACTAGAACAAAAGGGGATACGTAGTCAATAATCTTGTTTTTTTTTTTTTGGTGAAATAATAAATTATATATAATTAGGTCGGATTGATAGATAAAATTGAAAGATTGGAAAAGACAAATATATAATTATTGTCTATTTATGTGTTTGTGTGGCTAGCAAGAGAAAATAAATATGAATTAGAAAGTTATTAATTCAATGATGACAAGCGAGTAAATAGTCTGATGAGAATTTTGAAATTATGTTTGTTAAAAAATATTAAATTTTATAGCTTTCGTTTTTAACATTAATTAGTTTTATTTTAAATACATGATGAAGATATCTAGAAGAAAAAAAATATGAAAATGGATCCATTAGAATTGAAATTTAAATTATAGAGAAAGAAAAAGACGAAAATCATCCGTCCAAATTAGGAAAATTAGAAATTACATGTAGTACTAAAAGGATGAGTTTTCATTTACATAACCAAACAATGATCCTTTATTTTTCTTCTTTATTTTATTTTTTCTTAATTTCTATTTGATTGTATGATTGTTTTATTTCTTCTTAATTTCTATTTGATTGTATGATTGTTTAGTGTTTGAAAGTATTTTTTAAAATAATTTTGGATATGATTTTTATGTAAAGATCTTAAAACCATCTAAACATTACCTTAATAATAATAATAATAATAATTTGATGCTTTTTAAACAAAAACTCACTCTTACAAAATCATTGTACTTTGTACCCTGTGTTGCCAAACACAATCTCTATCTAACGAGACACGTTTTATAGCAAACCATATAAGAAACCTTATGTCTCCATCAACTGAAACAGACCTAACCATGCCATTTTATGAGATGTCCTCCGGCGGTAGGCCACAACATGGTATTAGGACACCCACTTCCAGCTGTTTAATGCATATTTTATTCTTAAATTAAATTATTGGAGTTGTGTTGAACTAAGATTTGAATTATCAATTTGATCAATTTTATTTTTAAATTATTTTTTGGGGTAAATTATATCTTTTTGATCCTCAAAATTGATAGCTAAATTTTGATCGTTAATTGAAATAATCAATTCAACATTTTTTTGAATTTTGTTTTTTACACAAAACTATATATATTAAAAAAATTACTGAATTATGTATTGTTCATAAAATCTCAATTTAAAATTTAAAACATATGTAGATAGGTTTTAATTTATTTTTTTCAAAAAATTTGTTTTATATGCAAAAAAAAAAATTCAAACCAACATCATATTAAACTTTTCAATTAACGGTCAAACTTTGACAATTAGTTTTAACAATTCAAACTAACAAAAGAGCACAATTGGTCCAAAAAATAATAATTTAAGAATAGAAATAGATCAAATTAATAGTTCAAATCGTACTTTACTACGATTCCTAAAGGTAAAATATGTCATTAAACTTACTTTATGTTACAAAATATATATACATGCCTTGCTAGTCTAATATCCAACTAATAATAACTAGGCCAGTGCTAACTGAATAGTCCAGCCCACCAGTACCACTAACTGGCGCATTACAAAATAAACTACTAACTTAGTACATTACCAAATAGACCTAATAACTTAGCCCATTAACAATAGAAACCCAAATGAATGCCAGACCATTTATAACCCTAATTGAGAAGAAAAATCCCAGTTCAATTGAAAACACGTCCCGTTCCTCCAAAGGCAAGATTCATGTATCCCGTCACCAGGAGCAAGAAGCCCAGCTTGTGTCTCCAGTTTCATAGCTTTCATGCAAAACATTAGTAACATCAGCATAAGTAAACTGAATGTCATCCTCAAAATATCAGGAACAGCAGCAACCATCTTCTCTTTCTGTTATGAACTTGGCATTCTCTCCTTGAGCTCCGTAAACCTTGATAGGTTATATGAAGACGAATTTTCACTTTTCAGTATAGGGTAAGAGTCAGCATGGGCCCTTCTCTTTTTATTAATTTTGGTTTGAAATTAATACTACCCAAGTAGTTTTTAATAACCTTGATAGGCTATTTGAGGTTTTCCTAAAAATATAAAACTACGTGCATTTTTTATTTTATGTTATAGATAGTAGGGTGTTTTTGGATCGATTTTGATATCAATTAAAACTAATCACACCACTTTCGAGACTAAATCAGTATAAAAACATGATTAATTTTTTATCGATTATTAGATTATTTTTTAGATCAAACTAGCCCAAATCCGATAGTACTAAAAAATAATTATGATTAATTATTTTAGATATCACATGTATCTTGTCACCAAACATAATAATAGATTTAATAAAAAATTTTGCTCCCATTTTATTGTGATTTGGCAATTTTAAACTCGTAGTACTAAATTACGTAATTTGAACCTCAAACTATTGGTTTTTGGTTAAATTTGATCCAATTTTCCTAATTACCATAATATGTAACAATCAACTAAGTTGACCGTTGCTTGGAATATTCAAATGACGTCGTTTTGATATTTTGCTCGTTAATTATTTTTAAAAAAATTAAAAAATATTTTTAACCCCTAATTTAAAAAAAAAAATCAAAATTAGGGAGTTATATATATATATATATATGTATGTATGTACTTTTTGCTAATTTTTTAGCTCATCCAAGAAGATAATTAATGATTCAGTGGAATTTTTGCTTATCTTTGATATTGGGTAATTCTGTTTTACATATGTATTATTTCATTTACCCTAAAGAGTTTGTTTTCTTTGATTTTACACATAAATAAATAAATAAAAATTATTAATTGTTATGTGATATTAGTATTTTTTATGTTCATATATATATATAGACTTGTATTTGAACAATTTGTTTTGTAAAATAAACTTTAATTAAGAGTATTTTAGTAAAATACATCACTTAAAATTTTAACTAGACAAACATTTTGAGAGAAATATAATAAAAAGATGTAAGATCTTTTTGGGATAGAAAGAGTAATTTGTAGAAGAGATATAGCGGTGTGTGTGGGCTTTCTTGTACTAGCTTCTACCAGATTAATATTCACATTTTAATTATTCAATTAAAAAAATCGTTTTTTATTGACACTAGTAATTAACACCATAAGTTCTTATCAAATATGACATTATATCTAATATACAAATATAATTATTATTTTTTTTATGATGAAAACAAGTATAATATTTAAATAAGTCAAATTAACTGATTCTATCCCAAAAAAAATAAAAATAAAAAATAATAATAAAACTAACAACTCCACAAGAAAAAATTGTTGTAAAAGACATCTTTTATTTTTGACAATTACACATTTTACAGCATCTGTTGGACTGCTGTTTTATATAATTTTATCATCGGTTGCAAAGTTTAAATTTTTAGATTGAAATAATTTTTTAAACTCGAAAATAGTGATAGATTTATTCAAGTTTTAAACTCAAAAAGCTTTCACTTGAGAAAATATAAAAAAAAATATAAATTATATTTTAAAGTTTCATTTCAATAGTTTAAATTTTTGGATTGAAATGATTTTTTAACTCCTATGAATAAGATTATTGTCCTAATTTGAATTTAGCACAAGCAATTTTATTACTAATTGAGGCATTTTGGACGTAAAAAATGTTTTTGTAGTATTTTTTTTTTAACATGAGAAACTCACGTCGTGTATGTTATTTCATGATACATCAAGAGAATTATTTGATTTGTACTTATAATAACATAAGATGCATGCCAATTGATCTTTCTAGCACATGCGAATAAATTTGCATTTTAAAACTTATATGGTAAGTGGTTATGTTGAAGAAAAGAGAGGAAGGCTGGACCAATTATATCCACTATGGTGCGGCCATTAGTAAACCTTCCGGTGGTTCCGTTAGTGAAGTCAATTCCATATGGGCGGTAATTGGCTTTAGCGGCTGTTGTCAGGTTGTTGTTGTTGCCATTATCGGCCAAAGAGTCTCCAAAAATGAAGAAACATGGCACTTGTGGAGCTGCATGAGCACAATTCTGCAAATTTGATACCAACTCCAATAGAACAAGCAGTAACCACCATGCTTTGATCTTGTATGCCATATCTAATCAATTTGAACTAGTTTGAGAA